AGCAGTTGCATTATTACTATAAATTAACCACTGAAGGCATTAATAAAGATATATAGATATAATTATATACATGCATACATACTGTGGAAAGTCAGCCCCCCCCCAGAGAAAGAAATATTTTTGGAAATATTTAAAAGGCAGAATATATTTCCCTAAAGGATTTTAAAAGCAGAAACCAACCCCGCCCCCAAGTCTCTCTGTCCCAAACAGAAACCAAGTCTGCAGAATTGCAGATATGATAATCTTGTCAGAAAGACTGGAGTCAGGAAACTGGGATTAGGAGGAAAGATTCCTAGAATCAACAATCCCTCACCAAAAATCTAAGAGTCATCAGCCACAGCCACAGGGGAAGCAGGATATGACCTTTGGGACATAATAGGATTAACCCACCACCATCAGAATACCAGAAAGGCACACTCAGACTCAGGTCAAAGTTTATGCCACAGAAACAACTCCAAACAAAAGGCTCAAGAAGGTATAAAAACCCACTCCCTACATGTGCTCTCTCTCTTTTTTCTTCCAGAGCCATCTGTCTGGCTCTCCTCTTCAATAAACTGCAACCTTCTTTTTAAAGCAGTCACCATGTTGTTTATTCCCGGCTTGGACTGAACCACACTGAAGACTTTTTCTTCAACACACAGAAGCACAAAGAAAATCTGCTGCTTTATCAGCTCAGATAACCATGCTTTATTATGGAGTTGCAGAATATAATTTTAACAGATATATTGTGTGCTATTTGTCTAATTTTAATAAAGTATGAGGCTGCTTTACAGCATAGAGATGGGATAAACAGTAAGCCACTTTAATTATGCATATATGGACAAAAGGGATAGTTCTCCTCTCCCTTTCTCACAACACCAGTGAAAGGAATAAAGTATTATTCAGAAATTTCTAATGAAGGTCGATAGCCACCTGGAAGTCATAAAATCAGACAAGTAAATTACAGACAAATAAGAAAAGCAGAAGTTGCTAGTTAACTGAAATTGCAAGCAGAGGAAATATCGAAATAATTATAGGAGCCGACCTATGCTAACAGAAAATTAGATGGTGAAAGATAGGATATGAACAAAGGGGCTTCCTGGAACATAGGAATGGATAGTGGTTTTAGGCGGTCCAGATAGTTTATCGGATGATTAGGGAAGGGGCGTTGAGTGCGATAGGGGAGGGGGAATCTGTGTCAGAGGTAGGATATAAAAATGTGTCAAACAGCTCTTTAAGATGTGGCTGAACTCCTGTGTGTGTTTCAGTCCACCAAGCCTTTGCAAACACTTTATTTTGAATAAAACTTTGTTGCTGGAATTCCAAGTGAGTTTGTTTGTTTTGGTATCTTGAGCCATGTTCCAAACAACTTGGGGGCTCCTCCAGGATATCCAAATGGTCCCCGGATCCCCGGGAGTGGCCACCCCAAGGGGACAGGCATCACATTGATTTTGATGGTCTCCTTAAAGGTGACCACCCCCGGCCCGGTACCTGTGAAGAACCGGACATTAAATAGTGAATTCCAGGAACAAAACAGGTCAGGTCATATTTTGGGGGGGGATGCCCCCAGGGTCCTAAGGACTGGCAAGACATACACGAACTGTGGATGTCCTGAGGGTCCTGGAAGACTGACAAGACATACATGCACTAGGTGTGAATGTCCCGAGGGTCTGAAGGACTGGCAAGGCAAGGAGGTGGGTCAAGTACCAATTGCTGGGAAATTCTGTGCACAGACCCAGGAGTAGCAGCTTTCTAACTTTTTCTATCTGAGTGGTGGCCTATGTTATTCCATCCAAGAATTCCAGAAGAAGCTGTGGACCTCCGCATCCTACAAACCTCTATATAATGTGTTGGTTCTGTGATTGCAATTGTATCACTAAATGTTGTTGTTGTTATCACTGTTGTGATTATGGACCAGTCTGTCCTTGTAAAGAACCTTGTGAAATAGTAATAGTGGAGGATTGGTTAAAAATATGTAAAGGTCTGATATCAACAGACTTTAGCCCACATACCCAATTATAGGAGAAATTGAAATATAGACAGCAGAAACACAACCTGACCTAAATTCAGTTATATTGGGAGATTGTGATATTCAAATTCCATGGGATATAGAATAGATTGTATCTGAGGGATAATGATGAGAAAGACCAACAGGAAAGTCAGACACTGAAAAATCACAGAGAGGTAGAACAAGAACTATCAGAGTGGATGTAAATCCACTATAGTTCACTATAGCTTAGGCTTGCTTACCAACATATAAGTATAAACTGTAACCCATATATGCAAAGTGTATTTTTGAATTGTCTATAAATTTCTGAAAGGATAAAGAAAAGAGAGGGTGGCTTGAAAGGAATAAAGTATTATTCAGAAATTTCTAATGAAGGTCGATAGAAGCCACTTGAAAGTCATAAAATCAGACAAGTAAATTACAAATAAGAAAAGCAGAAGTTGCTAGCTAATTGAAATTTCAAGCAGAGGAAATATCGAAATAATTATAGGAGCCGAGCTATGCTAACAGAAAATTAGATGGTGAAAGATAGGATATGAACAAAGGGGCTTCCTGGAACATAGGAATGGATAGTGGTTTTAGGCAGTCCAGATAGTTTATCGGATGATTAGGGAAGGGGCGTTGAGTGAGATAGGGGAGGGGAAATCTGTGTCAGAAGTAGGATATAAAAATGTGTCAAACAGCTCTTTAGGGTGTGGCTAAACTCCTATGTGTGTTTCAGTCCACCAAGCCTTTGCAAACACTTTATTTTGAATAAAACTTTGTTGCTGGAATTCCAAGTGAGTTTGTTTGTTTTGGGATATTGAGCCACGTTCCAAACACCAGGAATACTCAAGAGTTTTCAGCGACACATACAGGCATTTGATACATCAGAGACAAAGGCCACCATCCAGATCCAGGGCAATGAACTGAATAAATTATAGTTCAGTTAACCCTATTTGAGTTATATGCCATCTTTTATCCAGGAGCTCGATGTAGCATTTTTATAAAAACATTTATATGTCCCACCAAACTCATAACACTTGAGTCTAGGTGGCAACAATGTGTGCAGTTCTGCATATTTTCCCAGAACAGCCCTGTGAGATCCATGGGGTTGAGAATGACTGGTCATAATCATTCAGAAAACTCCTACGGCAATAAAATTGTACAGTGAATGTATGATTAACGTCCAATCTGAGAATTAGTGATGTGTTTATGTTCATCTAGAATCGATTCAGTGAGGAGCTGTAGCACTTTAAATCTAACAAGGAACATGGGTGACTATCTGGGTGATTTTGTATTCTAGCCTCCAGCTCCGGAACTACAGCTCCCTTGATCATTGCAGTGGGCCATTACCTTGGAAATTGTCGGTACTCCACACCAGCATGGAGTATTGTACTACCTATACTGATAAAGTTGGGTCAGGCTTTGCTCTTACTCGCAAGCGAGGAATAAAGACCAGGATTAAAACTAAAGACCAGTTTTTAAAACTAAATCTGGGTTTTTAGATTCCTGCCTGGATTTCTAAGTTATTTGTTTTTAAATCTAATGTTTTTATATATTACTTTATATTGCAAGTATTAAATAAAATAATTTAATTTAAAATGGATTCGTTGTGTAGAATTGAGTTTATGTGAGCGCGAAATCGAACCCCTCTAACAACTCTACTAAAGACACGCATACCTCTTCTCGCCCCACTAAATCAACTCCGCTTCCAAGGACCAGGGACATCCTAGTCCTTTAAAAAGAAACGGGCAGGAAAAGGAAGGAAAGCGCTTATTGACAGAACCGGCCCCACCCCCTCCTTTTCTCTTCATAGGTTCTGTACGCCAGGACCAGGCCGGCGCGGACACGAGGAAGGAAGCTGAACGGGCCGAAATCCCCGGGCGCCATTTTAAGCGCAAATCTCTCCTCCTTCACGCAGCCAAAATACTCTTTGTTAAAATAGCGGGAACAGGAGGCGAATTCTCTCTCTTGAATGCAACAGTAGGCAAATCAAGGTAATAACATCCAACGGATTCCCCCAGCCCTCCAATCCCCCCCCCCAAGACGGGCAGTCTAACTCTTCCACAGGCGCCCAAATTCTTGAATGAGGGAAAACCCATTAATTTTCTGGTCCCCTTACTCTTTCCCTCCTGAAGCGCCTGCGTGCAACCCCCGCTTATTTACTCGTCGCGACAAGTGGGGTCCGCTTTTTTCCAAGACCAAACGCACGAAGGCGGGCGGCAGCGGCAGCAGATTTGGGTGGGCCTGGAGCGAGAGGGAAATTTAATCAGGGCAACCTGGCCTGCTTTTAAATGCGGTAATTGATTTTGGGGTGGAAGGAAATTATGTTCTCTATGATTGGGAATCTTCCCAATACAGCTTTTTGCATTGTTCGCTTTACAGTAATTCGAATATTGTTCCTTCGGATTTATTGCCGGCGCGGTGCGCAAAAGTTGCAAAGTGAAGAATCTGCGTAGACGGTAGAGAAGTGGTGTCTCCGCTTTCTTCTGGAGAAGAGTCTACGCAAACTCGGCTACTTTTCAGCATCTGAACAGACGTCCTCACATTTGCATTAAAGCCTTGAGTATCTCAAAAATTAAGAGGATAGAAGCAGGCTGTGTTGTTTGAAGACAATCTATCTCTCTTTCTCCTAACCCCCCCCCCCCCTTTCAGTTATAGCATCCCAAAGAAGAAACTTTGGATTAATGTATAGTGTCTTTACTTGAATAACTTTCGTAATACTGTCTTTAAATAATTCTTTTACAAAATTGAACTCAAAACAATTAGGGTTTAGTTTGTTTGGAAACAAAACCAGTAGGAATTTTTGTATTGTAATTATGTTGACCAAGGAAGAATTTATGTCTATAGTTCTGGTGAGACAGTATTTAATGTGAGTTTCTAGAAAGCTCACAGTTGGCTTTCTGAAAAGCTCATTTGTTTCTACAGTTTTACCAGCATATCTTGCCTATTCTGTTGCCTAAAACTAATTCAGAAATATTAGAAAATTAATCAGCAGTGCATTTAATTTTGTTTGTTACTAGAAGTTGGAATGGAAACCCAAACTGGACAGACAACATCTGTTATAGATAACTCTGAAAAAAATGAGAGTGGGGCCACTGATCAATCCTTCTCTTTGCTGATTCCAGTAAAATATCATAACTTAAGTAAGCAATACATTTCTACTTCTGAAGCAGTCATAAAAGATAAGGATCAGCGGAACCAGAATTTTGTCTCTGACGAAAGGGAGAAGAAAAGTTGCCATGATACAGACACTATGCCGGTCAGCTGTAACTACATTCTAGACATTAAATTGAAAGATGAGGCTTTGACAAAAGGAAGAGTTTCAAAGAAGAGAGCATCAAGTGTGAGGAAAAGAGAGCATGATGTTGCTTTGCAAAATACACTGCAATCAGAGGATAAGAAAAGAAGGCGTAGGAGTTCTTCATTGGAAGTGGGATCTCAAGGAGATGTCATAGAAAAAAGATATACTAATTCTTTACTAGAACATGAACAAAAAATCCAAAGTTTCACAAAAAATCCAAAGGATTTAAAGAAATGCCAGCATCCCTTGGTAATGAGAGAATTACATAAGGAGACGAAAACTTTAACTGAAAAGGATGGGACTTCAGTAATAATTGATTTAAGCTCTGAAAAAGAATCAAATTTGCAGAAAAACCATAATCACTTAGCCTCAGAATCAAGACTTCAGCATAAAACATGGAATTTTAGGAAGAGGATTAAATCAGTTTGGCCAGAACAAAAGCAGAACAAAAGTCAAAGAGTAAAGAGAAATCTAACTGAGAAGCATGGTACTTCAGCAATGATAGATTTAGGGTCTGAAAAAGGACCAGGGAACCTGCAGAACAGCCATAGTTGCACAGTCTCACAATTTGAGCAGAAAACATGGAATTTTAGGGAGAGGATTAAACCAGTTTGGTCAGTACAAAAGCAGGACAAAAGTCAGAAAGTAAAGAGAAGCATATGTCGGTTAGAATGTATCATACAGAACATAACTGCATTAAAATACAGAGAAAGGAATTTCCCCAAATCACATGTATGTGTAAAGTACCCAGTTAGTGTGATGTCTGAAAANAGCCATAGTTGCACAGTCTCACAATTGAGACTTCAGCAGAAAACATGGAATTTTAGGGAGAGGATTAAACCAGTTTGGTCAGTACAAAAGCAGGACAAAAGTCAGAAAGTAAAGAGAAGCATATGTCGGTTAGAATGTATCATACAGAACATAACTGCATTAAAATACAGAGAAAGGAATTTCCCCAAATCACATGTATATGTAAAGTACCCAGTTAGTGTGATGTCAGCTGCTATGTCACATTTTTCAAGTAACTCTATAGAAGGAATAGAGAGTCTAATGAAAAATATCAGGATGAATTTTGTAAAGCAAAAAGAACTGACTGTCTCAAAATTGCAGAAAAGTATAAAAGCTTCAGATGAAAATAGGCAAGATTTATTGCATTCTATAGCAGACTTTGAGGAAAATAAATGCAGAAGTAATATAGAAGAAGGAATAAATAGGATGGTAACACAAATATTTTCAAAATCAAAAATGTATACAAGTGATGGTGAAAAGCAAAGTTGGAAGTCAGAAAAAAGTGTTATAGAGATCCTGGAATATAGCCAGTGGATTTCAGAGAAGAAAATAACTAAAGAACAAATGGATTGTGTACCTAAAGCGGAATTGTTGGTTACTAAAACAGAGGGAACAATTAAGGAAGAGACATACGGAAAGAATGAAATTGTGTCTTCAACTGATCTTAAAAAGGAAATCAAAACATCTAGTAAGGATGCTTAGTCTCTTTTCATCTGAATATTTGTTTTATGACTTTATTGTTAAATTTCTGTTTTTCCTATTACTGCCTGCTTGAATTTAAATTTAAAACTTTAAAATGACTTTTTAAAATTGGGATAGTATAATTAGTAAAAAAATTAAGCTAGGTGTCTTTGCAATTGTAGTTCAAACATTTTACAATTTTAAACTTTCTCCAAAAGATGTTGGCCAAAGCTCCATGCTTGAAATCAGGCATTTAAAACTGAGTCTCCTTCAGGTTGAGCTGATTCCTGATAATTTAATGCTGTTTCTTAAAATTTGGGAGTGATTTTTGTTTTGGATGGATATTTCAAAACATTTCTCAATTTAGCCCAACAGGTTTAGTATTTCATGATGATCTCTCATCCAACTACTACTGTAATTAGGTGTGACCATGTTTATTTTTTTCAAAATCAAGTAGGGGCTTTTGTCTAGCTGGATACTAATCCTTTATACAGAATGAAAAATCACATCTGGGCACGCTTGTACTTGCAGTTTGTATAAAGCTGCTTGTTTTATATTTTGGCTGGAAAATATAAACACTTCTGAAAGCTAAAGTAGTAAAATGGCTTAATACGTAATTGTTTTCAGATTTTTAAATATTTGGAGTTGGATTTTAGGAGCTATCATCAGTTCCACTTTAATAAACCTGATTTGAGTGAAAAGATTACCATTGAAAGGAGTATAGAACTGAAATTTCAATAGCTTTTATTAATTCTCTTAAATGTATCACTTTTTTCTATTTTACACTAAACTAATGCTACATTAGAATTAAAATTCCCTTCTATAGCATTTCATTGTCAAAATGCCTTGCCATTTTATACATGTTTGCATAATTATTTATTTTAGTCTTTAAATTACTTTATTAAATAAATATATGTAATAATAACCATATTACTGTACAGATAATCTTTGACTTAACTATCTGTTGCTTTCTATTATGACAGACTTCCCTAGAGATATTTATGACTCATTTTTGTAGTTACAGCAGCCATAGATTGTTCTCCTCATGGTCATTTGATTGTACTTTGGATGTTTGTCAACCAGGTCATCTTTACAGTTAATTGCAGTATTATTTTTTTGTCATTGTCCAGCAAAAAACACCCATGGGGAAAGTAGATACTTTTAAAAACTGTTGCATTCACTTAATTAGTCATATCTTCAAATCTAGACATGTGATGTCTTGATTTACAATTGTAATTCCAGACTCAGTTACAGTTATAAGTCAAGAACTACCTGTACTAATTAAAATGGGTGCTAGAATAAATTCTAATGGTGTTTTATATAATATGTATTTATAAATGTATATTTTATAGCAAAATATAGTATTTGAGAATACATTAAATGTATTAATGATTATTTGTTTTTTTAATCAGGAGAGGATATCCTTGACATTTTAAGTAGACAATATGGAAGGCTGCCACATACAATTCTGAATACTTTAAAGGACTGCAATATAGAGACAACATTAGAACAGTCTGCATCTCTACTAATAACTGAGGCAATTGAGATCAAGAACAACAATTCTGTTAGACTTTGCTTTTGGAAGCAGACTAACAAATATTGTAATGCTATTTTTTCTATCACAAATATTACATGTCCAGAAAATTTTGACATAAGAATACTTGAAAAGAAAATTGAAAAAAGCGCATTGGTGAAGTATCAGAATGAAAGATTTGAATGGCTTCCTATGTATAATATTCCGCCCTGCAAAAAGAGTCTAGTAGTAAAATCATTTGATTGTTATTACATTAAGACGTTGTTACAACCTATAGATATTGAGTCTCAAAGCTATAAAATTAATTGTGGATCTCTGCATAGTGCATTTGATCAAGGAAAATCCCTATCTTCTAAGGGTATGGGACAGAATGAACTTGGTAGTATCTCTAATGTAATCACACAAAAAGATGTTTTAGTTTCAAGAGAAATGTTCCAACATACTAAAAGTCAAAATGGAAAGCGAATCAAGGAAAATAAATTGTCCATGGATTTTAAAAAGCCAAGCAAAAAACTAAAAATGCCAGAGGACCTAGAAGAATCGTCAGTCATGAAAGTTCTCATAAATGAGGATATTTCCACTGAACATGGAATACCAATAGAAGATAATACTATTGCCATAGATTCTGCAATAGTTTCTGAAAAACTAGATTATAGTGAAACAAGTATCTTACCTTTACTTGATTACATACCTGATTTAAGTCTGGAACTGTCTTCTCAAAATCAAGTTGCCACTATGTCTAACAATAAAACAGCAGACCAAGAGCACTTCGTTACATATGATTACAGTATTTTTGAAAATTCGGTAGTTCTTGAAACTGACAAGAATAAATTAAAAGAAATGGAGGCATTTGTTGACTTCAGTAAAATGGATAAAAAGAAATCCATAGCGGAGACACTGGATAGTGAAAAAAGTATGATCTGTAATAGTAATGCCGCTCCTTATAAGAAAAGAAAAAGGACATGTAATAAAAAAATAAATAAAACTGATCGGAAACCACAACTGTATAGCTGTCAAAGAGCAATCCCAATTAGTAGTAAAAATATATGGCCTCATGGATCATGCGCAAGAACATCCTTGTGGATTCGTAAAAATTATGCATTAGATTCACGAAGAGGATATTTAGAAGGTATTGATTCAGTAACAAAATGCAGCAAATTGAAGGTCCGTAAACCATTGGTAGATAGTAAAATATCTATAAATACAATAGAATGTGTTGAAAGTCCACTTTCAGACGCAATATTGCATATAGGCAAGACACTTTCACCTATTACTGAGAATAGATTTTCTTCTAATGGTATGAAAAGATCTAAACAAAGTACACTTGATACTAAAATTATAAAATCAAAAGTGATTTTGAATTCATTAGGGAAAGAAGCCAAAGGAAAAAATATAAATATTCATAATGACTCGTTTGCAGGCATTAGGAAAAAGAGGACAGATAATCGAAAAGCATCACTTACCAAAAAAAAACCAGTGCTGAAAAATGTGACATCAGGAAATTTGTCAAACTTCAAAATTTCTTTACTTAAGGATAAAGATAATTTTAAAAAACTAGAAACTGAAACATCATCCGAAAAAGATACTTGCAATTCTTCAAATGTTTTAGAGAATGCTCTTTCTCTAAAAGAAGCTAGAATTAAACAGACTTCATCTGACAAAAATTCTAGTTCACAATTTCAATCTGAACAGGAGAATTATAAGCCTGCACCGGAAAAATACATAACTCAATTTAACAGTGATATTTCTGAAAACTTTTCTAAAAAGAGAAGAATTTGTAATACTTTGGGGAGTACATCATATGAGAATAAACTAGAATCACCAACTTTGAATGCTACTCCTTTCTCTTCGAGAACTGGAAATATAGATGAGCAAATGCTAAATTCTGCTTTGGCCTCAGAAACTATTAAAGTTAACGTTAACAAGTTGGCACAGGACAAAGATGACATTTGTGCAGATATTCTGAAGGCTTATGAAGATGATATTCTTATAATTGATGTTATTCAAGATGATCCTGATCTGTTTGGAGATAATAAACAAGAAGATGACTATGCAAAGATTCATAATACTAAAAACATTTATACCAGTGTTTTTTCAGAAAAAAATCCGGAATGGAAATTGAAATCATCTCAACTTCCAAAAAGCAAGCATTTGAAATGTATTAGGTAGGCTTGTTGCTTTAAATTTTTGTGTAATGGATATATATATATTTATGGCTTTTCTTAAAGTACAGTTCAAAGACCTTTAAGAAGACAAAATCTTAGAACTATAGAATATGAAGTGATCTAGTACAGTGGTGTGATAATTGAGAATTTGGGAGTTGGGGGATAATCAAGAGTACTCCTTACTCCTATATTAAAATTGTTCACAGTGAAATTTGAAGCATGTCAATGGTATTGTAAAGCAAAAATGTTTTGTAATATTAGGATTTTATATGATTGTTTTGTTTTAAATATGCAATAGCACCTGCCTATAGTAAAGAATCTAGCTGTTTAAGTTCAAACTTATTTGGGTTCAGATTCACTTTATTATAATTACAGATAGGAGTAGAAGATAGATTATGTTATCAAATGTTAAAGTTTAAATATAAATTATTTTGCATTACTTTTTTCACTTAAACTAATAGATATATCTGCATACTTACATGGGTATGTCAAGTAGTGCAATAACATCCATTTTAGATGGTGGAAACAGTCAATGAACTATCAATATGGTTTCCGTATTTCAGGTTTGACCATTGTGAGATAAGGTTATGCGGTAAAAAACAAATTTTAGAGAGGAACACAATGTTTGTCTTTGGAACAATTCTCCAAAACTATTGTGTGTATGCAATTTTTCTTGAAATACTAAAATATTTTATGAAAAATAAGCATAACAAAAGAGCCAACTTAGAAACATTAACTTTGTCTTTAAAATAATAAAATATGGCATGCATACATCACTAAGATGTTACTTGTATGATCTGTTATAAAATATTCTCCTGCCCACAAGATCCACTTTCATCTCCAAATTATTTCCTTCAGATTCTTAAAAGGCTGCTCTCATTTATTTGTTTTTGATGTTACTTCACCTTCTAGATGTTAATTCTTTATTTAATTGGCATTTTCTGAACAAATTAGTTGAAAACATAAAGAGTAATTTATCTCTCTGTTATTCAGTAACTGCATCTTATCTGTCATGTTATTCCTGAACCAAGTTGCATGTATCTGTTATAATGATGAAATTGCTGTATAGTGTAACTACTACATATAGCCAACTTGGTGTAGTGCAGGACTCTCCAAACTGTAGCTTGTGGGCTACATCTGGTCCTCCAGAAGGTTCTTTGCAGCCAGCCAAGTCCTCCTATGTGATGTGCTCCAATCCTTTCCAAACAGCACAGGGAGAGAAAACAGAGTTATATTCACTATTGTTTGGAAAGGAAAGTAGGATTCCCTCAATTTCTCCAGTGGGTAGGGGGAAGGGTGCAAGCCAGCTGGAGAGTTGCTGGATAATGAAGGGGAAGCATAAGTTATGAGTCAAGTAGAGTGTGTTATGCTGTGATGTTTTATTGAGATGATAATGGTTTATATATACAATTTCTCTTAAATATTATAAAATCTTTCATTTAAAGAGACAGCTTCATTCAAGATTATGAAACACTGAAATTGGATGAAAATACTAATGGTTTGGTGCTTCAAGGTAAAAAGTTTAAAATGCAGAAATGGAGAAAAAAGTTTACATAATTTTTGACAATATAGTTAATTTGCATAATTGTGTAATAAAATAAATTGATGCATGTGATGTACAATATATATGTATAATGCACATATCTAGCAATGGTCCAGACAGATTTTAGAAATAATAGATTACCTGTTATTTTATAGGGGATATCCAAACAGAAATATGGTCATTATAATAGTCCTTGACTTGTGACTGTTTAATGACTATTCAAAGTTATGACAACCTCAGAAAAAAATATTTATTTATTACTTGCTCTCTTTTTTGCTTCTATTTTTATTTTATTCAAAAAAAGATAACAAACAAAACTCCAATTTTTTTAAAAAAACAAATGAACACAAAACAAGACATTAAAAAAATAAAATACTAACTAATATAAATATATTATCCCTCCAGTTGAATATTGATTAATATTACAATATTAATTTCCCATCCCTTGCAAAAAAGTCCCCAAATTTTTTAAACTACTAAATCTGTTTGCAAATTATTAACCTGTCATCTATATAATAATGACAAAATAGTTAACAAGAAAAACAAAAACAATAATAAAAAAGACAAGATTAAAGTTTCTAAACTGTCTGTTAACAAACTCTTATTGTAATCGTAGAAATTGTACCGCAGCATTTTATCTATCCCAAATCATTCCAAGACTTAACAATAATTCATCTTGGATCAAATATCCACATTTGTTTCTTAATACCATCTCTTATCAATTGTTGTCTGGTTAAACATAATAAATTGAATGTCCAAAGTCAGTCTATCTTCACAAAAAAAGTCCAGATTAAATTGTTTTCCTATTAAGAGTAATAAATCCATTCCCTAATGTCCTTCAGTCCCTCTAGGAAAATCAGTTTATCACTTCTCTACTCGATCAGGTTGCTTCTGTTATAAAAGAATATGGGCTTGATCTTCAGGGGAGGAGTATGCAATCAACTCAGTTCTAAGTCTGTACAGTCCATATTTTTTTCAAACGGATCTGCTGCTTTCAAATCACACTCCTTTTCAGGATCTAATTTATCCAGAGCTATAGATATCTGAATATTTTCTACAGCTATTATCAGTTCATCAAACTTTTGAAAAAATCTTTCCACTAAGGATTGCCTGTTTCCAAATGATCTTTTTTCAGATACCAGCCATATCCTGTACTTGCACTTATGAAGGTCATACCTCTCCCACAGATGTGTGATCATAATTTGGGCAATTGGCAATTGGCTTGCATTTACATCTGATTGCAGTAACTTGCAGTCATGTAATAATGATTTGCAACCTTTCTTCCACTTTCTGCCCAAAAAATCCTTTGGGGAAGCTGGATTTGCTTAACAACCTTGAGATTCACTCAATGACTGGTGATTATTTGACCATGGTAAAAATAGCTGTAAAATCGGGTTCAGTTGTGTGATTACTTATGACTGCAACAAATTAAGACCAAAATTCCAGTCCCAGTTGTCATAAGTTGAGGACTAACTGTACATCAAGTTTGTTAATTCGGTGTTTCACTGTATTCTAAATTGATATTGCACATGGTCTGGTCAACAATATACATTTTATGGTCCTCTGTCTAGTTTTGTCTTAAATTCTGCTTTAATTTTAGCTATCATCCCAGATATAGCAAAAAATTGTGAAATTTTGTAGTTTTGTGTAAAATTCACTACTGGAAATAGAACATTTCAGTGTTCTTTAGAACTTTGGGATTTTTTTCTGGAATGTGTTTTTTTGGGATTTTTTGAAAGTAAATCTAGAATAGATCTGACTTTGGAATTATGAGTTCTTCAGATATCTAAAATTTAGTACTCATTTAATATTTATATTAAGTATAAAGCATATAAGATCTGAAAAGATTCAAGGATAATGGAATAATGAGATAGACACTGCCTACCAGAGCTGTTGTTCATGTTAGTTGTCTAATGCATTTTACTTAAGTAGTCCTTAAATAAGAACTGTTAGGAATCTCATATCTTATCCTGAAGTCAATGTCAACTGAGAACTAATAATATTCAGCAATATGGGAGATAGTTAATCATGTTCAGTTATATTGTTCTTTTTCTATGTTCTAGATTTGAGTTTTATTTCTAAAACAGGTTCAGACTCAAAGTTGTTGTCATAAGCCAATCCAAAATAAATTGCATCCAATGTTTACTGCTTTTCAGTCCCTTAATTTAGTGAATAATAAACAAAAAATATATTGTAGGAAATAGACTATTTGCCACCTGAAATTAGGGTTCCACGACACTTTTATGTGGTTCCAAAGAGACTAAGAGCAAAAAAACCCAAAAACCTGTATGTTTTGATCAGGAGTTCTGAGATTTTTTTTTAAACTAAGTTTCCAACAGCTTGACAAAGTTAAGAAAACTGTTTTAGAGAAATGTTAATTCTATTTTTATATAAAAATGTATGGCCCAATTAATATGCAAGCCAAACATACATGTTATGTATAATGCTATAATGCTCCCCTTGTCTGTGGTTTGCTTTGTATTTGTATAAAGTATTGCATTGTAGATTAGCAGCATTCTCCTCCTATTGGATTTATTGCTAGATACTGTGCTAGAGTTAGGCTTCTCAATCTGTGAACCAGATTGATCATAAGTCTTATGATAAGAAGACATAACCAGATATAATTAATGAGTGATTCTATATAGCTTAATTAAAAATATGAGATCACTGTATGCCTTGTTTTTTTAGAGAACTAAGAATTCTGTAGTTTATCTGTAATTCTTGAAAATTTCTAGTATCTGAATTAATATCTGAATTGTTTTGAAACATCAAATCATAGCAATTCCTAGAACTTTAAGTTACATTCCAGTTAATGTTATTGTTTGGCCAACTATTTCCCCTTCTTTAATATGTCTATACTTTATATGGACATGTGAAATTTAAAAATTCATTAGCCTGGATTTTTAAAATGTATAAATCTTTATTTTAAGAATTTGGACATATTATTAATCTCTATTGGAGTATTTAGGACTTAGTATCAAATGAGTTCAATAGTGGCATATTCTCACGATAATTATAACTTCATGTTTTGAATGGTATAAGTGGGCACCATTGATCAAATGATTAATGTCACATCTGGTACCACAAGTTTCTTTCCATAGAAATGTCATTTTAAATGTAGAGTTACTACTTTAGAAAATATCCCTTTTTTCAGTAAAGCATTCCATTTCTAATGTTGCTATAGTTCAGAAGTACACATGATATTCTTTTTCCCAATTAATGAAATTAAATCAGAGGCTCTAAATGGAATCAATTCTATAGGAGGAATATCAGAATCATCTCCTGCAGATGGACAACTGTCAGAACCGAATAAACTTACCAAAGATATTGATACAGATGAAAAGGTATAAAAGTACATTGATTTCATTGCATAATAATAATCTAATATGTAATGAATACTGCATTGGGGGAAGTTTATCTTTTACAAGTAATATGTTGCACTTTTTTACATATTTATGTATGTATGTGTAATGTAAAAGTTGCTATCCTAGCATACTAGTTTGGGAAAAAGTTATCTAAAAGAAATTGCGTTTACAGAGAATTGACATGTATAGATTTCATTGTTAGATACTGAAGATTAGATTGCTAAATATAAACATTTTTACAGAGATAGTTCACAATCTTCTGTATGGAATCTATTAAATAAATTTATTTTGACATATGAAGCATAGCAAAAGAATGAAAAGAAACATATATAATTTTATTGTAACATGGCTTCATTAATAAGATGGGTTGCATAATGAAGTTTTTAAATTACCTTCAGAAAGCTATCGGGGATATGCATATTACATTGTAAAAATGTCCACTAGAGAATTATAGTACAAGAATATAATCAAAAAGAATAATACCTCTTCTTTTTAAGAATATGAATTGCTTTTAAAACAAAAATAAATTCTAAATTTTATATAACTTTATTTGATGTTCATTTTACAGTATGAATTTTCGGAGAAATTGCTTGCTATGCAAGAACAGGAAACAAATGTTCAAGACTTTGCAGAAATGTATGTATTCAGATAGCAATATTCAAATAATCTTAATTATGTGAAGGAAAAAAACCAGCTTTCTCAGATTTATTTTGCTCTAATTTTAAGATTAAAATTAGATGTCAGTTCCAAATATAAATAACTGCTCAGAAACTCTTAAAAAACCCCTATTTGAGAAATGCATTTCCAGATTGAGAGCCACCAATAAAAGCAGTTTGGCCTCTTACGTTCCTTACTGTTGTGGATCAAGGGCACAGCCAGAAAAAGACTTCTGAAACTCTACCATAAAAACTATTAATTTTTACATATGAAAAGCTTTATGTCAAGGTTCCGACTAATGAAACCGAATAAAGTAGAACTCTGAGGCTTGAGAATTCCTCAAAGAACATATTTATTGTATACCGTACATAATATTTGCCCAATCAAAAGTGAAACCAACTCTAAACTTTCCCCCAGAGATTCAAAGTAATTAAATGTAACAATTCCCTCCCTTCTATTATGCTACTGATCACATTATCCAATAAGTGCATTTGGCGGTCTTCTTGATAGTACTTCTCTCCACTTCAGGGTCCGGTGAGAATGATCTTGGTTCCCATGGGATCATTCTATGTTTAGTCTAGTAAAATTAAAAACAACCTGATCCTCCCCCTTCTCTTTATACGACAACTGAGAACGAACAACAAAGATGGCATCAGCTAGGTTCATTGCAGAAGTTGACAGTTGGACCCCTCTCCTAAAGAAAAAGAAGTTCCTGGAAAACAAGTTTAGAAATACATTAGGGATCTTTCTATCAGTTATGTACTGGAGGCTCTTTAGGCTTCTGGGGGTGCTTATCATGAAACTTTAATCTATCTGTCTTTACTTCACTGCTTTTAACCCATGTAGCCTCTGACAAGGAATATCCCTTCCACTGCAATAGATACTGTAACTTTGCTTTATTCAGTCTAGAATCAAGGATGCATTTTATTTCATAGTGGGTCTCCCCTTCTACTAGAATTGGACCGGGCGCTTTGCAAGGAATTGGTCCCAAGATTGAATCTGTCACCAGCTTTAGTAAACTACAATGGAATACCAGATGAATCTTTCCCAAAAGTTGAGGAAGTTTAAGCTCAACTGTAACAGGATTTATGATTCTTACTATGGGGAAAGGGCCAATAAATTTTGGTCCCAGCTTTAATCTTAGATATTTAGTCAAGAGATAGACTTTCTCTCCGACATGAAATGGTTTTTGAGGAGATTGCCGCTTGTTGGGTTGCTCCTTGTGGATTTTAGCAGCTTGGTTTAAAACCTGCTTGACATTTGCTTGGTTTAAAACCTGCTTGACATGTCATCCATTCAGTCAAAGTCTGTGAGGAGGGGGGCTCTTAAGGATATTCAGGCATGGGAACAAATTCCCTGCCCGTAGCTATGTTTAGTCTAATAAAAGCAAAAGCAACCTGATCCCCCCTTCTCTTCGTGTGGCAACTGAGAACAAATGACAAAGATGGCATCAGCTAGGTTCGTTGCAGAAGTTGAGACTTTTACTTAGAAACTTGGATGTACAGTAAATATTTTGGATTTCCTTTAATTTATTGCAGTCATTGTATATAATACTTCTTAGAAATGGGTTACAAATTATATTAATACATTTCAGTTGATCATTTTCAATGTTATCTATATAGCTGTTATTTAAAATTGGATTAATATTGAAGACAATATCATGTCCAAAGCATTGCAATTAATAAATATGGAAAAGCCAAACAGTGGATAACTGTATAGCTATCACTTTACTTTGACTGCACTTAGCATGTCAACTTCAGCTGCTTAATATTAGTTCATATCATAGATGCTGCTTGAGAAATTAAGATACAAAGCTACCAGTAAAACCACCTTGGAAATATAAGAATAAAGAAGGCTGTAAGATTGATTGATGCAATTTATAGATTGCCAGCAGTGTGCTGCAGCTGCCAAAAAAGCCAACACAGTGCTAGGCTGCATTAACAGAGGGATAGAATCAAGATCACGTAAAATGTTAATACCACTTTATAATGCCTTGGTAAAGACACACTTGGAATCCTGCATCCATTTTTGGTCACCACGATGTAAAAAAGATGTTGATACTCTAGAAAGAGTACAGAGAAGAGCAACAAAGATGATTAGGGGACTGGAGATTAAAACATAAAGAATGGTTGCTGGAATTGAGTACGTCTAGTTTAATGAAGAGAATGACATGTTCCAATATCTCAGGGATTGCCACAATAAAGAGGGAGTCCAGCTATTCCCCAAAGCACCTGAAGCAGGACAAGAAGCAATGCATGGAAACTAATCAAGGAGAGAAGCAATCTAGAACTAAGGAGAAACTTCCTGACAGTTAGAACAATTAACCAATGGAACAACCTGACTCCAGAAATTGTGAATGCTCCAACACTGGAAGTTTTTAAGAAGAGATTTGAGAACCATTTCTCTGAAATGGTATAGGGTTTCCTGCCTGAGCAGGGGGTTGGACTAGAAGGCCTCAAAGGTCCCTTTCAATTTTATTATTATTGTTATAATTAATATTAATATCATTAATATTATTATTAATGTTATTTTCCTCTGGGTATCTGACATTGAAAAGTGTTTAAAAAATACAAAACAAAAGTCCATTTGCTACTTTACCATGAATCAAGGAGTATATGTCCTTTAAGAGTAGCATTTTTGGTTTTTTGGAAGGAAGGGGATACAGATTTACAAATAATAGTGCAAATTTAATAATGTAATGATTTATTTTCTGCATAAATAATCATGTTAATATCTATTTCCTCATCTGGAATTTAGTGAGAATACCCTAACTGTTGAACCTCTGATCTGTGATTATGAATTGGAATTTCCAGTTCCTACTGTTCCTACTGTGAACATCATTGTTCCTCAACAGCAAGACCGAGCACTAAAATCAAGGATGAATGGTATAAATTGATAATGATTAAGTATTATATTATTTCTCTGTTGCGTTACTTGTCCCTCTACACATAAAGATCCTATTCCAGTTCAATGAGGTTATTTGAACATTTTTGAATTGTTCTATAAAGAATCTAGTAATATAATTATTTGATATGTTTATGAATTATGCTTCAGAATTTTTAGGACTGTTTGGAGAGGACAGAAAAGAAGATGTATCCATTGTAACATAGAATTGGTGTATACTACAATGCTTGTCATAATGTCTGTATAATAGAAGTGTATACAAATAACTATGTACTCTCATCTAGATAAAATTATAAAAACGGTGGCAATTTAAAGCAAACAGAATTTACTTACCATAAAATAGTAACACTGGAATGATAACTTATATTTTTTTACTGTTGGTTTTATGCTTGGTTTTCTATCATAGTGCTTGAAAAGAGTTAAAGTTTTATAAATATAGAAATGAGAATTTGAGAGAAATATTTTTAAAGAAAGTAATTTAAGTATTATTTAATATATTTTTATATAAGCAGTATTCTTATCTTCAACATTAGATTTCAGATTCCCAAGGAAATGTCGTCCTTTGCCCTTATCAATTACTAATAGTTATAAAACACGGAAAGGAGAAAAATATCCACAGGTAAGTTTTCTAACTACATGTTTTTATAACTAAGCTTAAACTAAGTCATGTTTATAAATGTATATATATTCAGTTTGTCAATATCTCTAAAACAAACAAATAATTTATATTTATGCAATAATTTATTACCACAACTTCTGAAAAATTTGCCTAGAAAGATCTCAGACTGATTTCCACTCCAAATGTGATTTCTTTAATGGCCAAGAAGGGTTTTTTTCTCATAAGATACTTGGAAAGACAGGAGCATAGGGTCACAAAGGATTCAGAGTGGTTTAAGATATTTCTAGTGTCTAAACTTGCTAGGAAAAATAGCATTTAATACATTTACTAGGTACAGGTGGCAGTTGTTATTTCTATGGTTCATTGCACAGTCAGCTAGATGTTCAGACTGGATTTGGATTTTTTTTATCCTCATGTCAGGTCCTTCCCAAGGACCTAGGATAGGCAGATGTGGGTATTTGATGGTGTTACAGATATCATTGTAGGATATAAGCTGTTCCAAGTAAAGCTGCTTTTTGCAATTGTTTTGGGATTGCACCCAAGGTACCTCTTATTATTGGCACTACCTTTGCTTTCTTTTGCCACAGTCATTCTATTCTATTTGGAGGTCTTTATATTTTGTTAACTTGTTCAGTTCTTTCTCTACAATTTTGTTTTCCAAGCGCTGTCACATCCATTATCCAGACTTTTTTGTGATTAAGTCTGGGGTGTTATGGGGGAGGTGCATTTCTGTTTGAATTCTAAAGTTCAGAAGCACTTAATCTTCATTTTCTATGGCTTTCTCTATTTTCTGGTCCCGCCAGATCTTGCTTGCAAACAAATGGTATTTCTTAAAAATCTTCAAATGCACCATTGTTGCTATTTGTCTTGCCATTGTTTGTAGTCAGTCTGTGTGACCTTCTTCCAATAGCTAATCTGGTGATCCATTGTTTCTTTAGCTTCTTTTCAGAGGCAACATTTGTTACCTGTTGCTGTCTTTTCAATCCTAACTTTGTATACACATTTGTTTTCTAGCTTGGTTTTGTCCAGCCAGAATTAGATCCTCTGTCTCTTTTTTCAGTTCTCCTGCACTTGCTAGGTTTTGTTATTATCTATTTTGCTATTTTTTTTAATATACTGGCCATGTAATGCTTCGTCTTCCCATGCCTCTTTTCTCTTCCTTGTTTGGTCTTTCTTGTGGGCCAGTTTGGTCTCTCCAGTACTCGATAGGCCTTCCTGGTCTTATAGCTTCAGTGCATTTTCTTCTCTATCCTTTAGATATTCTTCCAATGCCCTTTTTTCTTCTTCAACTGTCTAATGTACTTGCAACATTCCATGCCCACCTATTTTCCTTGGTAAGTAGAATCTGTCAGTATTATTGTGTAGATGAAGGGGATGATTCATTTTCATTATTTTCTAGTCTTCTATCTATGGCTTTTAGTTTTGCTTGAGTCCAGTCCACTATTCCAACTGTGTATCTAATGACTGGAATTGCCCAGATATTAATTCCCTTATGGTATTTCCCCCACTGAGTTTGGACTTCTTCACTTTCTTGATATATTTATTTCTAACTTTTTTCTTGACTTCAGTGTGCTTGATGTTAGCTTGAAGGATGCCCAGATATTTGTAGTGATAGTCTTCATCCAGACTCTCAATATTATTTCCATAGGGCATCTTGATTCTTTCAGATTTCAATATTTTCCCTGTTTGCTGATGAACATGGCACATTTGTCCAGTCCAAACATTACAATATCTTGACTGTATATACAGACAGTGTTGAGCAGTGATTCTATTTCAGATGGTATTTTTCCATACAGCCTCAGATCGTTGATATAAAGGAGATTATAATAGTCTGGCAGATGTTTTTGATGTTTGATAGCCATGGCCCAATTATTCAGTATTGTTGACAGAGGAATCAATGCAATGAAAACAGTAGTGGTGATAGTAAGTTCCTCGTCTCTTGTTATTAACTTCTACCAATCTACCATCATTGAAAAGCAACCATGTCTTTCATTATGACATTGATCTTTACACAAAGCTTCTGATGTTTCTGTTGACTCCTTTTATTTCTTATTTTTATTGATTATCCAGTCATGTGGCCGGGAGTTGAATGCCTTCTTGTAATCAATCCATGCTACATTCAAGTACATTCATATTTCTCTTGCGTTTTCCAGAATCATCTTGTCAATTAGGAGTTGATCTTTTGTTCCTCTGCTGTCTGGGCAGTTTCCTTTCTGCTCGGATGGAAAGAACTTGTTTTCAAATAGATGCTGTTGGATTGCATCAGCTACTACATAAATTAATACTTTGAAAGTCATTGGCAAGCAGATAATTGACCTGTAATTACCTGGGGCTGTCCCTTTCCTGGATACCATGTTTCTGTGAAAATAAGACCCACCCAGAAAATAAGCCCTAGCATGATTTTTAGTTTGTCCCTAATATAAGCCCTACCCCCCAAAATAAGCCCACCATCTGTTAGGGCCCCTGCAGCCAGGCAACCTACCCTCCACCACCTGCCTCGCCTCGCAGTGGCGGCACCAGCAGCCCTGTCCACCAGGAGCCCAGCCATTTTCTTGGTTGCTTGTGGTCACAACGGACCAGGAGGATGTGCATTACACCGCTGCCACCGCCATGAGGTGAGGCAGGTGGAGGAGTGGAGCTGCCCCACATGCCCTGCACCTGCTTACCACAAGGCCCCTGCAGCCAGGCCAGTGACCTCCCCCCACCCATTCAATCACCCGGCTACCTGCCCACTTCTTCCCTTTCATTCCCCTCCTGAGCCAGACTGCCATGCTATGGAGGATGGGGGGGACTCGATCGCCTTACCTGATCCCCCTACGCCATTTTGGAGCCGGGTGGGAATGACGGCGAAAGGCCTCTGCTGCTACTGTGTCCACTTCTGGAGGGGCTTTCTTTGGTCCTCGCTGGCTGCAGAGGCCTTGAGGTAAGCGATGCAGGGCGTGTGGGGCAGCTCCACCCCCCCCATCTGATTCACCTCAAGTCCTGGTGGCGGCACCGATGCACTGTGCAGCCTCCTGCCCCATTGCAGCTGCGAGCAACCATACCGTGGGATGAACGGGGCAGGCTGCCACAAAATAAGACATCCACCAAAAATAATCCCTAATGGGTCTTTTGGTCCAAAAAAACTTATAAGACCCAGTCTTATTTTGGGGGGGAAACGGGTAGTTCATTATCAGGTAGCTTTTGCCAGATGTTGACCACTTTTCAATTTCACCTTCTTGCAATATGTTAAATTATTTGGCAACAAGTGGGTGTAGATCAATCAGATGTTTCAATCAAAAACCATGCAGTTCATCTTCACTTGATGCTGACCAATTCTTGATTTTCCTTGCTCTTTTTTTCCACCATTTCTGCTGTTATTACAAGTTCTTTTATTTCAACTTCTTTTTTATTCTTATCCCCCTCTTTCAAGCAAGCTCCATTGTTGTTGTATTACTTTGGGCAATCCCATTTCTGTATCCAGAATTGTACTATTTCTTCCTTGTCCAGTACTGACTGATTCACTGCAGTTTCTCCATTGATGGATTGGGTTTTTTGGACTTGATCCTTAATAACAGATTATTATTTCTTTGTTTTAAACATCTTTTCTTCCAATAGTTCTACCACTACTGGCTCTGATTGCTCAGCCAACAGTCTTGAATTCTGTAACCCATTTCTCTCCAGATGTCTAGGAATTCCAATACCTAACATGGTCTAATAAAACTGACCTGCGCAACAACTGAGCCAGTATGGATTTCTGTAATTTATGTCTCACCATATTTTATGGGAGTGACACACTCTTTGATTCCTGTGATGAGACTTGTCCAGTATAGTTGAACCTCTAACATAGCTCTCATCTTTCTCAGAGCACACAAGTCCCACAACCATATCAAGGTAGTGCCTCACTGGGGGTTGAGCTCACTGGGGGTTGAGCTTATTAATATACCATCAGCATTGTTACCATTTTCATATTTATGTCTTCTCATCAATCATGGGAAAGTGTGACCAACTTCACACTCTCCAGATATTTCACACTGTGCATTAGAGATTTGTGTCTGCTATATCTGACTGTATCAAGGCACATGAAGTTCTGCTGCATGTTTTGTGCTTATAAACATTATTTCCTTAATTGAGATTTATAAGGCAGCTGCGTAATTCTTGAAGTGATTGTGCATCATTGCAAGCTGAATATGTTTTCAACATACAACCATATTTAGAGTCTACCTATTACAGTCATACGTTGTGATAGTCATAAATTGAGTCAGTCACATGACTGACCTGATTTTATGACCTTTTTTGTAGCGATCATTAAACAAATGTGGTTATTAAATGAATGTGGTAGTCATTAAGTGAAACCATTTTTCGTTATGATGTGGTTTTGCCAAAAACCGTAAGTCATTTTCGTTTTGGCAAAATCATTGTAAAGTGCAGTCACATGGCTGCAAGACACTGAAAACAGCAGTAAATCCAGCTATGTTGCCAAGTGTCTGAAATGCAGTCACGTGACCAGTGGCAATCATTGGAACTGGGTAGTAACTTTCTTGTTCCAGTAAGTCGTAACTTTGAATGATTGCTAAGCAGCCAGTCGTAAGTCATGATACATGTATCTTTGCCTTATTAAAAAAGTACTCAGCTGCTTTTAGCCCATAGGTTTTGTGCCACCAGTTCACAATAACACATAAGAATACTCACCTCTATTTTTAGGAAGAAAAAAGTTAATATGATTCCTTTTGCTACGTTAGTTATTCTACTCATTCAGCTTGATGATATTCATTATCAGAGTTTAGAGGGAAAAGATCTTAAAATTTGAGCTGTAATAGAAATAATTTTATATACTATCTTGATATCTTCTTCAAATAAGCTGTATTACTCATAAATTCCTGAATCGGTACGTAGATTTCATTTTCTTTCCAATCCATTTTATTACATTGCTTCCATTATAGAAAAGAAAAGTACCATAGTAAACTTGACATTCTTTTTTTCACTTACAAGCTTTGGTTCCAAAAAGTATATAACAGAGAAATCTTATCTTTCTCTTTCCCCTTCCTCCATTTTGGTTTTGAATGAATCTGAAGACAATGATTTATCTTTCTTGAATTATTTTGCAGACTAATTTAGGATTGACTCTACCTCGTGGATATTGCAGATACCATTTCAATTCATTGAATGGCTGTGAGAAGCCAAGCTGTTGGTTTTCACATGTTCTTATATCAAGAGATGATAAGGTAAAACATTTTCCATTTCAGTATAAAATACTTTGCTAACTTTCAACCACAAATACAGCCATCAAAATCACCATAACTGTTTGTCTTTTAACAGATCATTGATATAATTACTGAATGTTTAAGTTCATTTAATGTTTGTTGATTTGGAGAAAGTTTATGATAAAAGTAAATAGATTTCAGTAAAATATTATAAAGTTGGATATTTGCTGCATGCAATATTAGAATAAAAAGAACCAAATATAGTTTAGCTTTAATTTAATGTATTTATGATTTGCTGTATAAGAAGTGTCTTCAAGCATGTTAGAGGTTTGTTGAATATATAAAATATTAAATACATAATGCATATACCTTTATAGGTGAGAACCTGGATGTAGATTGTTTGATTCAGTGGAGAGTTTGCATCTGAAATGCTCTGTACCATTATTAAAGTGTAAGATAATTACAACAAGAAAAATAAAATGAATTATTACAAACACAAAAAATGAAAAAATAAGAGCAAATAAATATGTATCTTAATACTAATTTATTAAATTTATATGCTGACTAACTACTAGCAACTTTGATTAGGAATTTTTTATTATCATTCTTAGTTGAACATTAATAAAAATGGGAAAATCAAAGAAGTTTAAAGAGAAGCTTGCACTATTGCAAGAAATTAATGTCAAAATATTTGAAAATGGAGCATATAACAACATATATTTCTATCCACTTTGTTGTATGGAAATGAGAGTGGCTGTGTCAGAAAAGAGTTGAATGCAGTGGGAATGGATTACTTAAGAACTGCGCAAAGTAAAATGAGATAGGGCTATAAATGTACAGTATGTAAATACCACACAGAAGTGCACTTAAGGAAATTTTGGTCATTCAGTCACACAGAATGAATGGGGATTAAATCACAAAATACTATAAAAAATAGTGAATAGGATGAAAGGAAGGAAACTTGATCCATTTGATGGAGTTGATTCTCAGGAGAGAGATTATACATTAAATGTAGGTAAAGCAATATATAAATCTGTAAAAATGGTGGAAGCAAGGATGATTTTCAAATTATGGTGTGATTGGTGTTGGCGTAAATAGATTTGATTTCTTTTTTTATTTCCTGCCACTACATTTTTGCTAGTTACTTCTTAACTCTTCCTGCACTTTTCATAACATTGCTAAGAGGAAGAAGTCTTTCCAAACTATACTGATTTGTTTTGCCTATTAACTATTTTATTATAGCATTTTGCCATCATCAATTTGCCGTCTCTCCACACATCATTCTTAGTGAAGCGTGCAAACCAACATCTACATCTCTTGCATCTTTCTCCTTCTGTCCTGGCCACTTTTTACAGAGGCACAGAGAGCATTACAGAGAACATTTTAACAAACTGCATCACTGTTTGGTTTGCTGGTAGCAATGCCTCAGATAGAAGGTCCACACAGAGAGTGGTAAGGAGAGCCGATAAGATTATAGGAAGCTTGCTTCCTGTTATTCAGGACACTGCTTATAAGTGCTATGTGCTTAGAGCTTGAACCATTGTTGGAGACCCCACACACCCACTTTACGGTCTGTTTCTGTTGCTCCCCTCTGGGAGGAGGTTTTGAAGTATTTCCAACAGGACTGCCAGATTCTGTAACAGATTTGTTCCCCATGCCATCCATCTGGTAAACTTACAAGATTCATTTTTCTCACCATGTACACGTATAAATCTGAACTAGACTATGTTGTTTCTCTGTGGATATCTGGGTATATGCATTTTGGGGGGTATATTTATGTAGTGTATGAGGGGTCTTTGGTGCTCTCTGAACTTGCTTGTTTTCTTGCAGGCGTTTTATTACCCTAACTAGGTAGCATTATCAGTGCTTATATATGCTTATGTAGTGTATATTGGAGGTGGTGACCCTTTGAGAGCTGTATGCAACGAAATTTCATTTTAATGTATGCTGATTAGTGTACATTTAAAGTGACAAAAAAGTTATTCTGTTCTGACTTCTGGTTTGCTGACGCAGCTGCCACGGATGTTTGAAAGGCGAACTCCGTCTTCCATGTCCGATTTTGCACCGCTGGGGGACCCTGGAAAGGGTTGAAAGTCGCCCTGTAGGGGCGGCTAGCAAGGAGGGGATCCCCCTTTGATCACGGGAGGGGGGTAGAAATATGGCTCATCACTAGGCTGCAGACAGCGGAAGTCAAATTTAGTATCAGGCACCTATTAATGAAGCGTGGATGAGACTGGGTGAGATCTGACTGGGTGCCGCCCTGAGTCCGCAAGGAGAAGGGCGGGATATAAATTCGAATAATAAATAAATAAATAAATCTACCTCTCTTTAATCCTAACTATTTTTTCCACCTGCATAAGCTGCCCAATGTACTTTCCTCCCTGTGGAGAGGGAAGGGAGAGTCTGTCCCATCCTCTAAAAACAGTGGCGACTGACTAATCCAGGAGAGTTTTAAATGTTGCAAGAATAACTTGATTCTAACTGGATTTTTATCTTTTTAAAATTTGTGGACTAAAAGATTTTTTATTCTTATTTAAGATCTGGGTTTTTACTTACAAAAAGAAGTAAAATTGGAAAAAGGATTATAAAAATTTTGGACTTAAAAGAAAACTCTAAATAGTATGGGCGACATCTTGTGGCTAAACCTGATATTACAACTTGTTATTGTTGTGTTAGAGTTTTCTTTTAAGTCCAAAATTTTTATAATCCTTTTTCCAATTTTACTTCTTTTTGTAAGTAAAAAGACTTGGCTTGAAGCCCAGACTATAGATAAGACTTTTGTAACCTTGACAGATATCAGCTGCGAGAAGCCCAGCTGTGACAAAAAAAAATTCATTCTCTGATTGTAAAGTTTTTAACTTAACACACTACTAAGAGAACATGGATGAAGATCAGGAACAGATTTTTTTTATATTGAAAGCAATTTATGAAACTATTCTTACAGCTACTGATGAAATAAGTTACAAAAAAGAACAAGATGTCACCTAGATATAAGAACCCAAACGTTGATTACAACTAAAAAATCAACTACACAAAATATAATAGAAGAAGTGGAACAATTAAATACTATGATAGAAGATTCAACTGATCAACAATCATAGTTAATGGAAAACCCAGAAAAGGGACTGACAACATGGAAAAGATAAAAGACTTTCTTTATAAACCAGAAGAAACTTGAGGATCAAGAAGAACAGACTGAAGAGAAGATAAACAGTTCAGGACAACTACGTCGAGATGGAAAAATAGAGAGACGATTTGTTAGTCCTTTAAAAAAAATGGCGACCGGATGGCTTTTTCTACTTCAAACAATATATAACAACACAGGGAGTTTTATTTGATGACTTAAAAGCACGGTCATGGAAGACAAGTTGGCAAAGAAAGAAAGCTAGAATAAGACTGAAGAAAATTGGAGTTTTGACTTATCAGTGAGAATTAAAATAGAACATACTCAAATAGATAAGATGTGTATTTTGAATACTAGATTTTGTTATGAGCTGAGATAAAGAAAACTTTGGTCATTTAAAACTTGGAAGTATAAATGTTAACAGTTAACATTTGAATATTGATTTGCTTATAAAGGTTGAATGTAAAAGTAATTAAGATATATATAAGCTAAAAATCTATTGATGGATGTAATAAATATGTTTTTACTAAGCTGTTATAATAAAAACTATTAGCTTAAATATGAGATAGTAGACATCAAGAGAAAAAAAGAGGAAGTATTAAATGTTGAAATAAGAGAAATTTTGGTTACTAAATTTAAGATATTTGGAAATTAACAAAAATAAGAATGTTATACTGTATTATTAATTAGTTGATATAAGATGGTGAGAAATAGAATATATTCAAATAGATTTTGTGATGAATTGTGATAAAAGAAACTGGTTATTTAAAACTTGGAAATTATAAACATTAAATATTAAATTTAAATATTAATGGGAAACTAAAAATTGGGAAAAACTAATTAGGACATTAATTGTCTATAAAGATTGAATATTAAAATAACTAGGATATGTATAAACTAAAAATTATTGATAAATATAAGAAGGTTATTTTTATTTAATCGATATAATAAGAATTGTATTAGTTTAAATATGAGACATAGGAAAGGGGAAAAGAGAGGAAATATTTAATGTAGTAGTTTGAGACCTGTACTAAAGATACTTGTATGTTATTGAATTATCAATTAACTCAGCCACCACGTTGCTTTTTAAATATTTAAATATAAAACTAGAAAATCAATAAAATTTGCTTTAAAAAAGTTGTTCTGTTCTATTCTATTCTGTTCTGTTCTGTCATATTTTTTACTAACTTTTGGCAGACTCTCTTGTAGGGAAAAAACTTTGTTTCCTAAATTTTGCTGGGGGGGGGGAGTTATGTCCATCTTCACCTATCTAGACAAATAAACTGCAATGGGACTTGGTATGGTCAGTATAATTCTATGTTTGATCATAGAGGAGTCAGATTCTGGAATTTTCTCAGTTATGACGTTATCATTAAGGAAGATAAGCTAATTTTTCTTGTAAATAAATAATTATTCTGTGTATCATTTTGGGGTTTTGCCAAAAATGATAGCAATTATGGTGTTTTTTTGCCAAAACCAATTCAAAAGGAAACAACACGCTTTCTTTTCCAATACGAAAAAAAAGAATTGCTCAATTGACATACTTCTTGCATATATCAGTGGTGTCACTGCTTTTATGTGAGAAAATCAATTTGGAAAAAAAAAAGAAAAATAATTATTTCCCAAATTTCTTTCATTCCTAAAATGGCTACTCTGCCTTATTTTTTCTTCTTGAATTGTGCAAGATATATCTTGTTAAAAATAAATCACTTGCATGGAATATTGAAGAGAAAAAGAGAGGATTCTTTGTCTGGAGAAAGTTTAATAGAGAAAAGGAGAATGACAGTCCTTTCTCTTCTTATTGAGATTTTATAATAGGCATCGCACTAAACTGTTGCTTTCAAAAGAACAACGCTAGTCTATTTCTTGACTTTTATGTACATGCCATAGAACTTTAGAAAAGGAAAAATGAAGGAAATAAGAATGATGTAAAATACATAATAGTTCTTTGCAGACAAAGTTTGGGAATAGAATTTCTGAGTACTTAACTATCATAGATATTTGAATATTATCAGTACATAATAGCACTTTTCCAAATTTGCTTTTATTTTGTTTTACTATACTGGAATTGATCTACCTATTTGAGAATTTTCTATATTCCATTTATAGAGAATAATGTCCTATAAATATCATTGGAACAATATCCATATAAACATGGTTTGAATTGTACCCTCTAAAAATAATTAGTTTACAATAAATGTATGATAATAGAAGAAAATGATGTGTTTTCTTTTGATTTGTACTATTTGAACCCTAAAGTAAATACATAAATTTGCACTGTTTCTTTTCTTGTTTAGCAAAGAGTAATAACTTTGTGATTTGATTTTATTTATTAGCTTTGCAATGAAATAATTAAGAAATATATAAGCATTGGTGACATAGTTTTGCTGCAACGGGCAGGTAATATAAATTCATCATTACTACATATTCAATATGTTGAGCTTGAGATTGATGTGTGCTGATTTTCAGAATATAATATATATTAATAGATCAAGAATCATCCTGATATTACACTATATCCACTGAGTAAAAATTTGACATTACAATAATTTGAATTTAATGTAGTTGATCTTAGAAAAGAGTCACTTAAATCAGTCAGATTTGACCTAGTTTAGAGTGTTATGTATTTCAGATCCATAAAGCTGAAGCCAGTGTATAGTTTTTAAATCTTTATCCTAGCATAGTATAGTAGTTCACAAATAATAGGAAATTAGGATTTAACAGGTTGCCAAGTTCCTAGTCATCATATTGGTAATCAGATTAGTATGTACACTCTAAACTTACATAAATCTTCAAGCAGTTATCCAAAGACAATCCTTTTACATCAGAACTAGAATTCCATATGAAATAAAATGTGTTATGGCATTTTATAGCACTTTTAGCAAGAATTTTTGGAAAGTTTTTAGTTTATCAACCATGAATATTTAAAATAGTATGTAGAGGTTTTAATCCTAAAAACAAACATTACTATGGAATTCTTCAAGATAAAGCTTCTATAGTCACTGCATTTTTAAAACACCGGGCATTTAAGTCTAAAGCTTATGACCACACTAGGGACCAGAATTTCCATTGTAAATCATTGCAGTCATAAGTTATCATGTGATTAGATTCAATTTTATGATCATTTTAATGATGGTTGTAAAGTGAGTGACTGTGTTTAATAAGTAAATCCACTTTCCTCAATGGAAATTGGCAAAAAATGTCACAAATTTGATCATGTGACCTTAGAATACTGCAACAAGTTATAAATGTGAGACAACTGTCGTGCAACCAAATTGCTATCGCTTGACTCCTGGGATGGTGCAATGGTTTGCAATGGTCATACGTCTGATTATAGATCCTTTCTGAGAATATTGTAACATTAGCCATTATGAAACAAACAAAATTGAGGATTATCTCTAAATCATTTTAGTAATAAATTACTTAAATAATGCTTAAGTATTCACCTTTAAATTTCCTGTTTTCTTTAGTACATATACTCACAAATTACTGCAAAAAAGGTACTGCTGTATATCACTTGGATTCGCAAATGTTCCATGATCTCCTAACATCTTTGCTTCAGTTCCCTTTGCTGAAAGAACTTTTTCATGTAATACACACTGGCATCAGGATTAAAATATTAGTAAGTGATCCTTCACTATGTCTAATAACATTCTATGAATCCCAATGAATTTAGCGGAACCTACTCTTAGATAAGTGGAGTAAAATAGTAATATAAACATTTTCTGATTAGATAATGATTAATCATATATACATGCTGTTTGGATTTTGGATTCCTATTTAGCTGTTGACCTAGTTTAGAATTCCCATGGTAGTCCATTGAATTTCTTATGATATCATGCCAAAATGGATCTGAAAACAATGTAGAGGTGGTAGATATGATTAGTTTCCACAGGATCATATTGCCTGATCCTTAAAATTCTGTCTATGATAATTGCACCGGATTTGAATTCAAGCCATTTCATAAGTGGTAATATTACATCAGGGCATATCTAAAATCTTTTTGAAGTTGTGCAAATGAGAATCTTTTAATGGATTATATTTTACATTTGCTTATCTTTTTGTAAATTTAATATTTTTAAAATTAAAAGTTTTTTTTTCCTTAGCCAACTATAGACATTCTACTCAAAATGTTTGAAGAAGTGGCTTCTATGAAAGTAAAAGAGGCAGTACCTGAATTATCCGACATCTTTTGTAAGGTATGAATTGGATTATTTAATTTCTTTCTACAAACTTTGTTTCTAGAGACTCCATTTTCAATATTACTATAGTCTCTGTGAGAAAATGATACATTGGGGATAATCTCACAAATAACACTTTTTATTTTTATGGTGTCTCATACTAAAGAATAAGAATAGTAATGTTTTAGACTTCCAGGTTGCCATGGACGTCTGGGAGATGAGCTTCGTCTTCCCTGTCCAGTTTCACATCGCTGGGGGCCCCTGAAAAGGGTTGAAAGTCGCTCCGTAGAGGCGACCAGCAGGGAGGGGCTCTCGCTGGATCACAGGAGAGCAGTAGTTCCCCTGCTAGAGCTGGCGAATCCCTCCAAACCGGTGGACGAAAGACTGGCCATAGAAATATGGCTCGTCACTAGGCTGCAGACAGCCAAAGTCACACTCACCATCTGGCAGCTTCAAAGCAGTAAAGGACTGGGTGAGATCTACCTCTCTTAAATCCTAATTGCTTTTTCATACCTATTCAAGCTGCTAAAGTACTTTCCCTCCAGAAACAGCGGCAATTGAATATACAGGGCAGTTTTGAAAACATTGAAAAAATAATTTTGAAAACGTTGAAAAAATAATTAGATCCCAATTGGAACTTTATTTCCTAAAGCTTGTGGATTAAAAGATTTTTAATTATCTACTTTTTACTTTCTATTTTTATTTGAAAGTCTGGGTTTTTCCTCTTAAAATAGAAGAAAAAAACCGAAAGGATTAAAATAACTTTGAGATTTAAAGAAATTCCTTAAACAGTGGGGTGACATCTTATGGCTAAGCCTGAAATTGCAAATCATTATTCTTAAAGAAAAGAGACTTGGCTGATAGTTCAGAAAACAAGATAAGATTCAAGTAACCTTGAACACCAGCTGTGAGAGTTTTAGCTCTGTTTCTTATTTACTGGGGGGGGGACTGTAAAAATTTTCAATTAAACTCATCACTATGGAAGACCAGGAACAGACCTTTCCTATGGAAGAAATACAAAAACAAATTTTTGCTATATTGAAAATAACTCACCAAACTCTTCTTACAGCTGATGATGAAATAAGAGCTTTCTGGAAAAAACCAGAAAGCATCTTAGATATGCATACTCAAACTTTGACTATAACTAAAAACCTATCTATACAGAATACAAAAGAAAAAAAATCAAACAATTAAATATTATGACAGAAGACCTAACTGCCCAACAAGTACAAACAATAGAAAATTCAGAAAAAAAATTGACAACATGGATGGAGAAAAAAACCTGCTATATAAATCAGAAGGAATTTGAAGATCAAGAAGAGAAACAAATGGAAGAAAAGATAAACAGTTCAGGACAACTACGTCAAGAGGAGAAAATAAAGAGACGATCTGGTAGTCCTGCCAGACCCCTCAGCCTTCAAAAAATGGCGACTGGATGGTCATCTCAATATGACATAATATATACAAGAATACAAGAATTCTTTGAGGACCCTGAAGCAAGAACATGGAAGATGATTTGGCAAAGAAAAAAAGCCAGAATAAGACTGAAGAAGAATGGAGTGTGGACATATTTAGGAGGTTTAAAATAGAATATATCTAAGTAGACAAGACCCGTATTTTGAATACGAGATATTGTTATGGTGTGAAGATAAAGAAAAATGTTGGCTAATTAAAACCTAGGTGCATAAATATTAACAGTTAAATTGAAATATTGAGTTGTTTATAAAGGTTAGATAAAGGTGATTAAGACACATATATGTTAAGAGTGATGTAACGTAATTAACATGTTTTGATGTAGTGATAAGAATAAAAATTATAAGCTTAAATATGAGAGTGGATATAAAGAAGAATGCTGAAATGGGAGAAATTTTGGTTATTGAATCTATAATATTTGGAAATTATAATGGAAAATAATATTATATTGTATTACTAATCTGTTGATACAGAAGTGAGATAGATATGTATCCAGAACACTAGATGTTGTGGGAAATTGTGACAAAGGGAATAGGGGTCATTTAAAAAATTGGAAATGATAAATATTAAACGTTTACTTTAAAAATCAACGCAAAATTAAAGCTGAGAAAATTCATAAGGTTATTGATGGTCCAAAAGATGAAATGTTAAAATAAATAAGACATATAAAATTATTGATAAATGTAAGAAAACTATTAAGTAGCTGATGGATAGAATAAGAAGTATACTAATTTAAACAAGAGACAGTATGTATTAAGGGAAAAAAGAGAGGAAATATTGGCTGTAATAGTTGGAGATTTGTATTAATAATATTTGTATGTAATGGAATTATTGTAACTCAGACACCACGTTGCTTTTCAAATATATAATTGTAACATTGGAAAATTAATAAAAAGTATGTTTTTAAAAAAAAGAACAGTCATGTTTTTAGATTGATACCTATTTTAAAAATGGTTTACTGGCATTTTCGACTAAAAATGCAACCTGTATAAAATAAATCCCAAAAGATGGAGAAGGTTAAATGAAAACGACCATGTTTAAAAAGTACTATGTTTATTATAGCTCAAAAATATAAGAAAGGAACACATTTTTGGAAATGCAATAGAAATATAGTAGAATCCATTGGAGTTGGGCAACTAATAAATTTGAGTGAATAATAAATAAAAATATCATTTTTTGGTTTTGCTAAAATGGTAAATGCATGGAAGATTTGGTAGCAATTAATTTGAGTTAGGGTTGTCCACCTAAAATTTTGGCATTTACCATCGGCTGTAGACTTTGATGGAAATTATGGCGACATATTATTAGAAAGAAAGCAGTTTTCAACACTTTTATACATATAACAGAAATTTAAAAGTATACATCATTAACTGATATTACAGTTTATTGGATATAAAAATCTGCTTTGAATGTAATGGCTGATATGACTGTTTCATAGTAAACTATACTCTGGACATATTAACAAAATAGTATTATCTTCCAGCTGTTGAGCCAGCCCCTGGTTAATTTAGCAGTATCTGGGTTGAGTATTTGGAACTATGAAAATGTTGTGATTCAACTGTTAGCTTGATATCCCTAATCATAAACACATTGTTCATAAGAGCTTTTGACATATATTATCTATTTTTTCCATATTGTTGTAAAGAATTTTGCAAGCACTTAATTGTGGAAATCTTGAAAATGTTCTTTATCAATGGATTTTTGTTAATATAGCTTATTGATGCTGGAATGGTTCTTGAATGTGAACATATTAGACATATCACCAACTTATTAAACCAGTTACATATTTCCAGTCAGGAAATTACTATGCTTACATCCAGGTATGTACTTTTTAATATACTTTTAAAACTTCAAAGGGATAAAGTTTTGAAGTATCAATTATAAATGGATAAAGTTTTGAAGGATCAATTATATCTGTAAAATATAAATCTGTACTAGTTATATTTGTTCATAAGTAATTAATTATTATCTTACTATGTTTTTTAACTTCATTGATACCTATTCCTCAATTTATGTACTGAATTGCTCAAAATACATAATTCCTTTCAAATGAGGGAGTGCAGTGGCAAAATAAATACTTGAAAATGAAAAATCTTTAACTACCAAATTGCTCTATACAGTTTTGTATTCATGATCTTTGTAATATGATACTAACTGAATCTATAGGTAGTTCTCAACTTACAACTACAATTGACCGCAAAATTTTGTTGCTAAGTGAGACATTTGTTAAGCAAATTTTGCCCCATTTTACGACCTTTCTTGCTACAATTGTTAAGTTAGTAAGTTAGTAACATGGTTGTTAAGTGAATCTGGCTTCCCCGTTGCCTTTGCTAGTCAGAAAGTCGCAAAATGTGATCACATGATCCTGGGACACTGCACTGCTAAGCATCTGAATTTTGATCATGTGACCATAGGATGTTGCAATGTTCATAAGTATGAAAATTGGTCATGTCACTTTTTCAGTGCTGTTGTAACTTTGAATGGTTACTAAATGAACTGTTATAAGTTAAAGATTAGCTATATTTCATCATGCCTTAAATATTTATTCACAAATTTTCTATACTGCTAGACTCCACAATGTCTCCCATTGTTTCCCAAATTAAATAAAAACATAACAAGCAATAATAATAATAATAATAATAATAATAATAATAATAATAATTTAATTTGTACCCCGCCCTTCTCCTCACCGGACTCAGGGCGGCTAACAGCCTTGTAAAACCACAATACAATAAATATCCATTAAAACCAAATTAAAAGAAAATATTTGAAGCGGCCAATCGTTAAAATTAACCTTTAAAATACCCTTAAAAACCCCANGAAGGAGGGGAGATCCGGGATCACCCGGATCTCTGGGGGTAGTTCGTTCCAGAGGGTGGGAGCTCCCACCGAGAAGGCCCTCCCCCTGGGGGTCGCCAGCCGGCACTGTCTGGCTGACGGCACCCTGAGGAGACCCACTCTGTGGGAGCGTACCGGCCGATGGGAGGCAACCTGCGGCAGAAGGCGGTCTCGGAGATATAAATAAATAAACAGTTTAAATTTTAAAAATACCATTGGCATTAATCTTGCTAGTTATTATACAATCAAAGATTCTACGAAACAGCACTATTTAATGTCATTCCTAGAGGGTTTAAAAGAAGGAACCAACTGCATCCCAAGGGCAAAGACCATCTGTTCCAAAGTTAAGAGATTGCAGCAGATAAAACATTGCCTCTAGAACTTTTTCCATCAATCTCTTGAATAGAGGAATTATTAAACATCCATTTACCAACTAAGTGTATAAAATGAACTAGTTCTAATTAAAGAAGACAGTTCAGAAGGTAATCCTCACAAATGATCCAGAAAGATATGATAGATGGCACTGAATGCCATTGAGAGGTTGATGAAGCGGGCTATCTCCCGCATCCAAGTCCTGACAAAAGTCATCCAGCAGAGCAGTCAGTATGGTTTTTGCCTCTTCCTCAGGCCTGACCCTAACTGAAAGGACTTCAGATAATCTACTTCTTCTGAATTGCTCTATGGCTAACATGCCACTACCCTCCCTAAAAAGAGAAGATGGAAACATGGCAGTAATTGTTCCATCACTTCCTCCTTTAGGCCATTAGGTAGAACTACTCTCAAATAAGTGTTGTCAATCTTTCCACCCAGTCATTTCCCCAGCATTCCAAAAGTTGATACAATGAAGGTCCATATCCACATTTTTAAAGTCAGAAAACTAAAATAAACGCCAGGTAGCAATGATGTTGCCTCAAAAATTTCATAAGATCTCACCCATGCAGAATCCAGTTTTCAGCAAATATGACAATTTTTATCAGTGAGACACTGTGAAACCATTTGATGTCAGTTAGTCTTCTATACTGGCAGTGCAGGTGTCATTTACATTGTTCCATCTCTCTGAGCTGATCAGTAAATTAAGGAGTTCCCACAGAATTGGCAAATAAAGAGGTCATACAGAGGCAGTCATATCCAGCACTTTAATTACCTCTGTTTTCTAAAGTTCAACTGCTGCTCACTGATATTACCTTCCAGATTCCTAAGTAAATCCTAAATTTCTAGAATCTAACCAGAATAATAATGTGTGAGGCAGATCGTTCTCATTAGTTCTTCCATATACAGAGATCATAGAAAGTGATGAACAACTGGATCAAAAGGTTATCTCTGATCATGGCAGAGAACTAATAATAACCATTTTCATATCATAAACCTTACATCATAAGCTTATCATACCATAAGCCAATTATTCTGAAATAAAAACAAGGTGTAGTATATGATCCCCTACATGGATCAGGTCAGAAATTACCTGGAATAGGACCAGGGAGATTCTTGGTTGCTCTGGATGCTGTGTGGATTACCACCATCCTCACCACAGAAATTGAAATCCCTCAAGATCAGTTATTAATAGATTCCAAAACCAGCTGATATTGAAATCCAGGATGTCAGTACAGGATCCTCCCAGGGAACTGGAAAGGCAGTACACATACAGAATCTTGAACTTACCCTTATACCCCTGCTTCAAATACAAATGCTTGCACCCTAACATCTCTGCAGTAGGGCCTCTGATTTGAGCCATGATATCCTGAAAGATCATTGCCATCCCCTCCTTGGCTTTGGAGTTATAGTTGCTGAAAGATCTGAAATCTGGGAGTCCACATTTTGGAGAAGGCAACATTGTTGACTTCACTAAATTATATTTGGGGAATACATGCTAGGTACATTAGTTTATCTATGATCAAGTTGTGAACAAATGGGACCTAATTACAATGGACTACATCTTGTTTACTAATAGCAGACTCCAAAGTGGTGACATCTTATCAATCTCTCTTTTGATATTAGTTTCTAGCCGATTTCCTTTCTCCATTATCCTTCTGCACTTCGCAAGTTCTTTATATATTCTCTCCATTGTTCACAATCCACAACATCCATTGTTCCCAACCTCCAAATTCCTGAAACTCATCCTAGCACCTTCCTTCAGAGTTCTGCATCACAACCACCAAATGCAGCATTATTCATGAGTTACGTGTATGACAAAAATAAATAGGCTGTTCACACTTTGTAACCAAAAACTAAAAACTTCCCAATGATAGCTTAATATATATGTCAGTAATGGACAAATACTGGTACCGAGACAAAATTAAAGGCAATGTCTGATAAGTAGCAGTGATAAGAAGATGCTTTTGAAATAATGTCAGAGATCATAGCCATCACTCATTTTCATCCCCCATTTTTAAAGTACTCTGGGCAAAAAAATCCACCTTCAAATCTTCTGCAGTACTATAAGATACAGTTTTCTTGCTATGCTTTCCTATGCTGACATGTTAGGAGTAAACACATTAAAACTATATTTTGCAAAGTATGTGTTGTTGAATCCTAATAAAATAGAGGAATACTTAATGGTTTCATAGATATGAACAGTTTGAGCTTCTCAAACTGCAATGGTTATTTTGTGCAGCTCCATAGTCCCTCAAAAAGTTGATGGGAAATTGTATGTTAATGTGTAGAATGGAAAAAAACTGTTAAAATATAAATATAATTATGTAATTATAATCTGAAATAATTTCAACAATTGAGTTTTATTTTTGTTGAGTACATTTTTGAATGTGGCTCCTTAGAATACTATCCAAAGATAAAATATGATCTTTGGCATGAAAAAGCTGCACTGATGCAGTGATTTGGAGTTTGACCTATTGCCTTTTATACTAAACACTAAGTAAAAGATTTTTCAATTGCAGCCTACTAAATAAAAGTTTGTTTTTAAAGATTTCAGGAAAGACCTTTTCACGAAGCCATCTTTTGTGATTTTGACTCAACAGTAGCAGAATTTAAGGTACCATATATATATATTTGTTTATAGGACCTTGATATTAATCATTAGTTATTATGTAAAACATTAGTATTCACAGGGTAAATTGTTGCTGTCTCAGTTTTATTACTCTACTATTTATTGTAAAAATAAAAAGGATTTATTTAAAAATTATGAAAATGGTAAATATAGAAAATAAACTTCCATTATTGTTTTTTAAACTGAGTAGTTAGTCACATAGCCATTAGTTTTCATTTTCATGAACTATTGTCTTAATCCATATCTATCTTTTATGTTACAGATAGTCCTCGGCTTATAACCACAATTGAGCCTGGAATTTTGGTCATAAGTCATTGCATTTGTTAAGTGAGATGCCCATGTTACTCTTTTACTCAATGACCTCAATCCCGACTTTCCCTGTTGCTGTTGTTAAGTGACATTAAGCAATGTGTAGGGTACCTCGGGAGAGGGAGGCCCAAAACAGCCATGTGTTTGTTGGATAGGTGCAGTGCAGTACAAAGCTGCAAACGCCCCAGCTCAGTTATGAAATGCAGCACTTTGGAGGCAGGGCCTGGCCTGAAGTGGAGGCTCAGGGCCTTCAGCATTCTTAACTGAACATTAAGATGATGCTGAACAAAGGAAGATACAACCCATGCCTCATGTTAGGGCAGTTGCAGTGCCCCTGTGATCATTGATGACAAAAATTGGGGTGTTTATCCATGTCCTCCTGTCACAATTTCAGGGGAGTGCTGAGTGGGGAGGCAATCATATCATTCCCCAAGACTGACATGTTTTACAGAATGCAGTGAGGTGGCATTTCTGAGTGGCAATGCAGTGCTAGGACTGATGTAGAGCTTTGGGCATTGACAGCTGCCTCAGACTGCTGAAGGCAGTGATGGTGGGACAGGCAGATGGAGTTGCAGCACCCCTGCATTTGGTCAAGCTTCTAAATTTGTTATCATATGGCCACAGGGATACTGCAACAGACCTAACTTCAGGCATGGGTTGTTACTCCCTTTGTTCAGCACCATCATAATTTAGAACAATTGATGGACTAATAGTTGTTAAAAAGTATTTCCTGTAATAGCATAGATTGTTAGTTAGTATTCATGAACAAGAAAATATAACAGACTTTATCATGAGCAAAGTAGGATCTGGGATGATACAGATACAAAAAACATAATTATGGGGCATCCTAATTTTTTATGTATTGATAGGAAAATCTTGTAGGTTCATTGTCTTGTGATTTACATTATCTTTTTGTTTTGGCAGTTATAATTGCTTCTTAGTCAGCTTAATATTTGTATATATTTAATGCCTATGAGATTTTTTTTTTCTTGTGCCTTTGGTTTTCATGCCATTATAGCTTGTTCATTCTCTATGTTGTGCCAATGAGTAGTCTGTTAGAGGGCTTTCTTTTAATCCTTGACAAAATTAGTGTGGTCTGAAGAAGAAACCAAATCAGATAGTCCACAAATTATAAGCTTACACTCTCAATGTGAGGAAAACATGCAAGATTTTTTTTAGTAATTGACTGATTATTTGCCATCAGGTCATTGTCAGCAACCAATAAATAGACCTTCCCCAGAATGATATGCCACCACCTAAACTCTTCAGTGTGCCAGCGTACACATGCAGCTTGATTACAGTAGTTGAGCTGTGCACACATGCATGGGCTCACTGGCCCACCACTCTGTAATGGATTATGGCCCGGGGGTTGAGAACCCCTGATCTGTAGCTCTGTATGTCATGAGGGCTGAATAGGTACATTCTAGAAAAAAAAAGATTATTTCTGGTTTGCACAAATGAAATCAAATTAGCTAAGGCAACATTCCTAGAAAGCTGTTTCCATCATCTCTTCCATTTTTTCAACCGTTAATGGCTTCTCAGGGAGATAATTTATATTTACATAAGATATCCAGAATATAATAGATATAAAGATAGCCCAGCATTTGAATATCTTTTTCAAGGCTTTCCCAAAATGCTAGTCCCTGGCATATTTCTTGATTGCTGTTTCTTTTTACTGTTAATAATCCATCTTAAAAGATAAAAGCTGTTCACCCTCTCAGTGACTTCATTTCTAAGCTTGGTGGCTATTGTTATTAATTTAATCTATTTGTATTTAATTGGTTGATTTTTTTATTGTACTTCATTACTAGAATTTGCAGATGATTTACAACTATCAGAGCAGTGCCATCAACCTGGTACAGGTTGTTGATGTATGTCCCTCCACTTTTAAAAACCTTGCTCATTTTCTTTCAATCCAGCTCTCACAATATATAATTCAGAATATATATAATAAATAAGAAAGCAGGATACAATCTTGTTTCACTCCTTTCCTAACGAATCTTATTTGCTTGTGGTTTCTTGATCTGTGTATAGGTTTACATGAGGACAATGAAATGTTCTGGGATTCCTATTTTCCTAAGCACACTCCATAGCTTGATATGAGTTACACAAAGATTCATGAAACACATACTGATTTCTTTTTTGTATTCTTAGGTTTTTTTTCAATTTTCTATCACATATCAGTTATGTCTCTTGCTCTTTCCAACTTTGTTTTTCTTGAAATTATTACTATATATCCATTGGCATCCTTTGTTTTTCCATGTTTAATGTCTTAAATAATATCATGGTTAGTCCTGCTTCTTGTTTCTTCTAATAATTCTTTGTTAATTTTTTTCCTGAGAATTTGTCATACTTGGCTTTGCCTGTCATCTCTTGACAATTTCCACCATCTACTCCAGGGGTCTTCAAACTTGGCCCTTTTATGATTTGTGAACTTCAACTCCCAGAATTCCTTAGCCAGGCCAAGTTTGAAGACCCCTGATCTATTCTGATACTCAATTTGGTTGCTTTGGTTTTTAGGTCTTTGAGAATCTCTTTTCACATTCTTTTTTAACAATTATTTTGATGTCATTTTGTGGTTTCCTCTGGGAACCTAGTTTAGGACATCAAAACAATTGTTGAAATTCTTGAAAATGATAGGCATATTCTCTATTGGTTAGCTCTATTCTTCCATTATAGTTTGACTTGAAACTTGCACATGAGTAGTTTGTGATCTAAAGTCAGACCCTGGCCCATTCTTTGGTGTTATAACTGAGCTCTTCTATGTCCTTGTGCCACTAATACAATAAATTTAATTTATCTGGGCTCCATCTGGTGATATTCATGTATATAAATGTCATTTGGATTATTTGAAAAATATGAACCAATAACTGGATTATTAGAAATGGATGTTGCTCTATTTCATTTGTATTTCCTAAGCCAGGGGTCCCCAACCCCCGGTCCATGGACTGGTACCAGGCCGCGGCATGCCAGCAACCGGTCCACAAAGACAAGCAGAGCCCCATCTGTGGGATGCAGGCAGCATACAAAACCAGGCAGTCTCTGGTCCGTAGAAAAACCTTTCTCCATGGAACTGGTTGGGGACCTCTGTCCTAGGCCATACATTCCAACTATATTTTTCTTAATGGTTTCAACTTTGGCATTCTAGTCTTTAATGACAAGCACCATATTTTTCCTGCATGATCTATGATTTCAAATTGAACTTAACCATAAAATTCCTCAACCTTCTGCATCAGTGTTTTATATAAATTTGAATAACTGATTTTCCATTGTCTTTTCTGTTGCAAAATAAAATGATACCTTTTTCGTTGTCACTCAAGAGGCAATCTACCTCAAGCAGATTGCCAAATATAGGTGCCTGCTTGCTTTAGCTGATCAGTTGGGAGGATCTTTGCAGTCTGATGGGAGTATTTATATTCTTGGCATACACTTTTAGCATTTTTTTACTCATAACCGTATATACTACCACCATGAAGCAGATACAGATATTTAACAGGGAAACAACTTTAAAAACGTTTCTTCAGACAGATTCTCCTTTCAACAGTGTAGTTCAATCTTAAGAAAGGTTATTATTAAATAACAACAAATTATCTGTATACTTTATCAAGATTTTGGAATGAATTGTAAGTATTTTTTTATTTTCTCAATATTTTCACAGTAGTATTATATATTACAATAAAAAACCTTTAAATTGTATAAAATTGTAGAATTTACCAAATACAGTTATTGATAAACAGTTCTTTAAGTAGACAGCCTATTTAAATAATTTAGTTCTATTTCAAAACAAAAAATGTTATGTATTAAGTTTATAATGTGTGTGAATTATTGTTAGTAATGCTATTCATCTTTTCTCACTTTTGAACAGCATTGTAAAGAAAAAAGTGACTGGGCTAAATTGGGAACTTTGTATGCTAATGTGACGAGAGGGTGTAAAAATGCTGATTATCTTGAAAAATACTTGTGGCATGTAGCCAGCATACTAATCAGTTCAGTGAAGGAAGAGAAGCCAGGCATTCCATTTTGTGAATTTGCTGCAACAGGTAAAATGAGCAAATATTGTCAAGTATTACAAGCTTACATGCAAAGAAAAACAGTTTCTCTTTAAAGTTGAATGTGGGTCCCCAAAAGTATCAGTTCCACTTAATCTCTGCAGTGGAAATCATGAATTTATCTTCTATATCATTGCTCATCATCACATTGGCTTTAAAAAGCAGGAACATTTTTTTGGTGAATATGTTTGAAGGAGGCCTCTCTCCTTTAATTCAGTTCCTATCTCATATCTGATAGCAGATCAAAAATAAGAGCTCTGTTATCTGTTGATAGCTCTCATGAAGGAATAAAAGCCTAATAAGCCTGCTGGGAATGGAGCAATTCAAATATTCGTGGCAACTGATTCTATTTATGCCTAGGATTAGTGAAGCTGCTTCCTCATCCAGAATTTTGCCAGTAGATCAGATTGATAATTCTGTTGACCTCCCTCACTCTGACACTTACAGCTTTAGTTCTACTGAGTCCTTGAGTCCCCACTGGCCACTAATGAAATACTTGCAGTGTGCTAGTATTTAATGATTATGCAATCTCCAGTAATTAGCCATATAATCTTCAAGAGCAGTCCCATATAAAACACTAAGTAGCCTGTCCTAAAGATAATGATGTCATGAGTTACTGATGCCTTATTCCAAGTTAGATAAAGGTTCCTCTAGCTGTGTCTCCCCTATGTCTATCTTGTAGTAGTTATGAGGATAGGAGATCCCCAACGTTTCTTTTTCTGAGAAAACATCCCTTCCAGTGCAGAGGATTAGATGTTTCTGGACAAACAAGAACTTGGGCTTACTTGGGTTCAGCTTGTTTCTCCCTTTCAATCTCACAGCCTCCAGCTCAATGCTGCTACAATGGAGGGCCTTTTCAGATTGGAGATGGATCACCATCCTTGTCAGTTCATTCAGCAACATTGCTGCTCCTAAAGAGGCATTGATCACCTCCCAGAGATATCCAATCATGCTACTACCAGCTGCCTGAAGCAAGGGACATATGGATCCAGCCCATATAATAGCTTGTAAGGAATTACTCTTAGTCACTGTTCCCCTAGAGCAGGGCTATCAAACTGCCGGCCCATGGGCTGGATGCATCATGGCAAAAGCACGCCCACCCCATTGCCAGCAATGGAAAAAAAGTTGCAATACGTCACAAAACATCACATGACATTGCGAGTTTGACACCCCTGCCCTAGAGGAAGTGAATGATTCTAATCAGGCAGCTGAGTTATAATCTATCAACAGAAGCACAAATACTAAGCCACCCTTTATTCCCACATTCAGTGCTGAAGCTCTCAATTTTAAATTGAAATCTATGTTAATCTCTGGTACCTTCAAATTGGAGAAACCTATTCTGAAATATCCTTGAAATCAAGGATGAGAAAAAATAACTCCTAACCATACCCACCAAGCAAGAAGAAAGCAAAGGAGTTGCTGTTTCATTAACCTTTTACTTGTATAGATCTACGTGATACTGTGAGAGGAAGAAGAAGTACAAGGCTATAAGTCAAATGGCAGCACACCAAGGGCACCTGCTCCTCAATCCTCCACAAGAAAAACAGGAACTTGGGTTACAAAACAAAATGTCAGTGGACAGTTACCTAGAGGTTTTTTTTCTAAGGAGCAAATAACCCTGAACATAATTTTGATAGATGGGAATCCATGTGTTTATCCTCCTATCATTGTTTTATCTTCTAGGTCTGTATCGAGAAAAGTATAATTTGATGTTCAGTGGTGAGAAAAGTAAGGTCCTGCAACTAGGCAGGAAAAACCAAATGCATAGGTATAAAAATAAGTGGTACCTGGCTCTCCAGTGTTTTTTTATGTTCTATGCTTAAAGATACACAACATCTCCAAAGCATTTGAGCAATCCTGAACAGGTTTTATGGCTCCTGCTCAATGGTTCTGAAGAGATCATTATTGGAATTGAAGAGAGTGAAGTGCTTTGTGTGCTACTACAGATTTCACGTCGAGATATTGAAATGAATCCTAGAATGCTTTGAGAAGGGAATGTATCGTGAGGTATCATTCAATTCACCTAATCATAGGAAGTACCTCAAAACTACACATTGTATAAGCAACCCCCTTTTTTGGTCTGCACTATATCTTATCAAGATCCCAGTGATGTTAGTACATGAAAACATGTACTAATTTATATTATTTTGTTCAGGGTTCAAGTTGTATTTAAGAAATTATAGTATTTATCAATATGCAGATTGCTGGTCAGCCTGAGACAAAAACTAGAGACACATTTTGTTATTTCCAATAATAAAATAGTGTCTATTCCCAGAAAAAAAAACTATTTTCATAGTATTTCAACTCCAGAAGAATGTTCACTACAGAATCTTGTAGATGGAACTAGTTAAGCTATAAGGACTAATTAGCATCCTTATCAACTTGGTCCTTTCATATTCTTTGCAATAGCAGTAAGTGTTGGTTCTATAAATATTAGATTGCTTAATAATGCCACAACTTAGAGTCAATTCCCTTGCAGTAACAATGTGTATTTGTACTGTCATCAGCATTGAGAAAGGAAAACCTAGTGAAACTTTTTAGCAATAGCACTTAGACTTATATACCACTTCATAGTACTTTACAGCCTCCTCAGCGCTTTACAGAGTCAGCCTATTGCTCCCAACAATCTGGGCCCTCATTTTACTCACCTTGGAAGGATGAGTCAATCTTGAGCCCATCAGGATTGAACTCCAGGCTGTGGACAGAGTAGCCTGCAATACTGCATTATGGGTGCAACAACAAATGAGAATCAGAAATCAAGTACCAATCAGCTGCTTGGAGTTGCACTGATGAAGTCAGCAATTTCAAGCTCTGATCTAGAATTACAGCAGATAAATTGTTATAGTCAACCAAGCAACTTAAATTGATCATCTCTGCCAGATGGCTATGAAGTTTTGTGTTTTCATGAGAGAGATCACCAGAAAGTATAGAAGAACTTACTTTCATTTTTTATGGTACATTTTGAAGCTGCACAAATACAAGGAACTTTTCAGCAGATTAAATGTCCTCTTTTCCATCAGTCCGAGTGTAGTATTTGTTTTTTATATCTTGATTTCTATTGTTGAGAGTAAACTGGCCACTTTCTCTATTAATTGGTTTTAAACTTGTAGCAATCTGATTGCTAGAGTAATATATAAGCAAGGTGTTTTTGAGAACTTGTAGAAGTAACCTTGTTGGTTCTCTGTTGGCCCAGAAGAACCTATATTTTCAGCTCTTAAGCAGTAATCCACAGTACCTTTTTCATTTTTCACACTCCTTTTATAAGCAACATTCCTGAATCTGGATCCAGATGGTTTGCTTGGTTCCAGTTCCAGCCTTTTGCTTGAAAGCTGGACAGCTACAACTCCATGAAGTGCAATGTGATGAGTGTGTTCTCAACTTCCTAGTGCCTAGTCTAGTAGATCCTGTACTACCCAGCTGTACAAGTTGACTGATGGACATGGTATTGCTAATATTGGAGAAGAACCTGGAAGTCAGATGATTGTGTAAATCAAATCAAGATTTAAACGTGGATATAATATATAAGCATTGGTCAGTGGTGTAACTTCCTTTGGGAACTGGATAGAGTGAATATGTTCCTCCAGGTCTTTTAGGTCTCCCAGTGGGTATTTTTTATATCAATAAATACTGCATAGTATCCTTTTGGCCCAACTACATTAGAATAAGGTTCCATTCTAAGGGAGTTCTGTTTCTTTCTAAGTACACTGTTCCAGTTAATTGTGGGGAGGAAGCCTCAAATTCATGATTGTTATTATGTAGATTGCCACAGGACTTTTCTCACCATTTAACATTTCTATGAAACTACAGGGAGAGGTCATACAGATAAACAGTGACAGTTTTAATCCAGTAGTGGAAGGTTATGAGAAGTTGGATGGGTTGAAATAAGCTTAGATTGAGTCCTACCAAAGAGATACTGGTAGTCCAGAAATGTACTGACTTTAACATCTTTGATGATTGGCTTGAATAGAGTCATACTTTCCCAATAGGAATGGTTCTATGTCCTGGATGTGTGACTTCTAGAATAGCAAGTGGAGACACAGCTTAGATTATTATGCCATTTGCTTCTCTTTGTGGATCAGGAAAGTCCTGGCAAAGAGAGATGTTTCTCTCATCACCGTTTATACTACCATATTGTTTGATAAATAAATTTAGAGCAACAGCATAATTGCCACTAGCTTTCTGGGCCTAATTTATGTTCTATATTCTATGGATATATTGCATTGCATCTTTATGAATTGCCTGGGATTTTAAAAGGTGAGCAACATGCAAATAAATAAGACACATAGGCTTTTAAAATCTGCATGATGTTTGTGCATCTGATAATTTAGGACATACAAAATTCTGAACATGGATTAAATAGTCTGCACTTCAACTGGAAATGCATGTTTGAGAAGGACTGATCTCTACACTGTATGGAAAACATGGTTCCAGACTGGTTAGTGAGAAAAGTGGAAGAAAAATGAAAAGTTGAGGGCTTTCTCTTACAAAATAATATATTTGGATAGGCAGGGGAGGGAAGAGAAGGCACTAGGAAGATCAGGAACAGGCAAACCATTGAGATACACTATTGGCAGAAGGAATAGCTGAGAGCAAGGTGAGAAGGGAAAACTTTGGGAAAGGAGCAAGCAGTGTGAAGGGGAAATGAGAGGTGCAATGTACACTTGTCAGTCTCACTCCATAAGCTAATTCCAGAATTCCTGCAGATGAAGTTTTAGTTGAAACTTGGAAAAATCAAAATGTTTATTTCTTCAAAGCCATAGCTAATCCAAAATAGTTTAAAGAACTTCCAGAATGCACTTTCTCTCAGCCTCTTATCAAAAGAATGAATTTTAATTTTTGAATATACCAATCAATTTACAGGATTGTGAGGAGGAAATTAAGGGAAATCTCAATGTATTCTACTTTGAGTTTTTCAAGAAAAAAATGGAATAAAAAATTTCCTACTTGAGGAAATTCAAGTTTTGTATATTGTTTGCTTTCCATATCATATTTATGTATACTTGTTCCAAAAATTTTACTTCTTTTGCCCCATTTAAAAACAATGCTAATCTAAGATAACTATTAATTTTTTAGTTAATGTTGCTGGTCATCGTGATGAAAGAGACATATCTTCATTAGGACAGATTGGCATTAGTGTCATGTTTTCATATTACAAAATACACCAGTGGTCAAAGGTAACTTACAAAGTCATAATGTTTATTATGTGATTTTTTTAATCTGATGGGTGGGCCATAGATGCAACAAATTATATATTTGTACATGCCTTGCAAACCCATACATGTTTTCCTATTGAATAGCCATCAACTAAGAGATCATCGGTTGAATTAGAAATAAATTACTGTTCGTATTTTCTTTCAAGTATATGGTGGGGGGAATTAAAGCATTTTTCTTTGTGCAAGTGAAATCGAGATATTTGCATAAAACGAAGTTTGAAGTTAAGATACTTTAAACATTTCTCCCATTTGTGCCAATATGTATGGGTAGGTGTGAAATGTTTGGATCATTTCTCATAGATGCATATTTTGATTGCAGGGATGAAGAAATAAGTTATATATTTTCCCAATCTTGCCCCGATAAAAATAACTAAAAGGTTACATTAATAACTTCCTCATTGCTGAATTCTAGTTTTGGCTGTGTTTTGAATATCCTTAATAATATTAAAAGATGGAAAATTTTATCAATGTCTGTGCTTAATTAACAATTCAAACTTAGAACATATAGTGTTTCAAAATTGTATTTTATTCTGAAATGTGTCAGAAATATCAGAATTTTACAATAATGTAATAAAATGCTTAAAGGAGCAATATTGCCTAAATTAAAAAAAAATCCTAGTTTCAGTGAGATTCATGGACCTGTAATTGGGAAAAGAAAGCTATATATATATATCCATAATTATAGTGCACAATTTCTTTCAAGAAGCTAATTCTTGGTAAATGAGATGAGGAAAAGTATATTGTGCTCTCTTTGAGATAAAGACGCTAACCAAACTACAAGTGAACCAGTGTTAAAAAGCATGAAATTGTTTGCAATTTTCATTCCCGCTTTCTCCATTTTTATATTAGGCCAAGAAGATTCTGGATGTGTTTCATGATTTAAAGATAGACTTCACACTTCTTAAAGGATTTTTTGAATCAGAGCAATCAGTATCAAGATGTCAAATGGTTAATGTTGCTGTGGAAATCTTTCTCAAATGTAGGAACCTTGATGGAGTACTATGGGTATTGAGAGGTAAAGTTAAATTAACAAAATTGGATTTATTGACCAAATTTATATAAATATTTATAGTTTGCTTCTGGGTCCAATTCAGGGTGCTGATTTTGACTTTTAAAGCCCCTCATGGCGTGGGGCCAAGTTGAAGGTCTGCCTTTCCCCAGTTCTATCTGTTCATCCATCAGATCCAGCAAGAAAGGCATGCTATGGGTCCTGTCTTTCAGAGAGCTACACTTGATGACTCTGTGAAAATGGACCTTTTCTACCATGGCACCAGCTTATGGAATATTTTCCCTCTCCATCCCTCCTTGTTTTCCAAAAGTCCCTAAGATCTGTTTTGTCATCTGATACGATTGGCCCTTTCCAGGGTGATTTGTGGAACCGGTGATGTACGATAGTCAGGCTGACTATCGGGCCTCGCATGCGGCTTAAGAAGACACGGACAACATCTTTCTTTGGTGAGGTGTGTAGAAGCAGGAGCGAAAAGATCCCTTGAGTTCTTACGCACCTACTTTTATTCGAGTATAGCAGGTATGGGAGTGGTTACATCAGGTATGGGAGTGGTTACATCTCAGGAGGAGGGGAACATTTCCTTACTACCATATACGGTCTTTTTTGTGCCCTTTAGGAAATGAGGAAGTCACCTTAGGCATACGTGACATAGCTGTTGGTTTGAGAAAGTACTTAGCGATGAGCACTGATACATTGTATAGAATATTGCAACATCTCCTCTGTTTTAGTTTTTAAGGGCAAGCCTCTAACCTATTCCTTGCTGCCACTTACCTCCTCCGAGGCAAGTGATTACAAGTCCATAAGTATTCGAGGATCCCCTTTGGCTGTATAATATGTGACAGAGTTATGTTCAGTAT